GCTCCCCGTGGGCGCCTTGCTAACCTCAAAGCCCTCACATGGCGGACTCCCAGGGCTGTCCTCATCATCTGCGTCACTGGCTGCGGCCTGGCCACGATCATTCTTGCTGCGCCAGGGCCTTCTTGCAACCCCTCTTTGTCGTCTTCTTCTTGTGAGATCTGGTTTCGCGCTGCGTGTCCGGGTTCACCATGCTGCTGGGGTCGAAGTCAAATGAGTCCTCCGAGTCATCAGCGGCCAACTCCTGTTTGAAATCAGGATCCTGCAGGTTGCGTGTGCCGGCGCATGCCCTATTCACTGGAAAATCATTTGACCCATGAACATGTTGCACACATGTACACTTGATCGTCCTTGTCGGTGGCTTTTACATCCAAAGGCATCGTGTCATCGATCAAGATTGGGTCCTGCGCGTGTCTTGTTCGCTCATGAGATGGGGTTATCAGCTATATATAGTTGATGATCACTGCGTTGCAAAACGATGCAAAACGGCAAAGTTATGTTGGGCGTTTTCGAAGATTGGCTGCGAGTCTGGGTCCTGGTTGAATGCACATGCATGCATGTGTGTACATGCAGTCAAGAAAAAGCATCATGAGCTGCATGCATGCATGCATGCTTAATAACCATTTTCAGGGTTAAGTGGAACTCAATGAAACTCATGATCCATGCACCAATCGTGAAACTGCAAAGTCCTTCGGGGGAGAAAGCTGCAGCTTCTTGGTGGTGCAGTCCAATCGTTGGGAATCGTCCTGCAGCTAGCGATCACATGACATGCATCCATAATTTGCGCTCGATCGTAAGCATGAAACAATTAGAATGCTGTCCTCGATTTGCGTCTCGATGACCATTTCCACTGTTTGGTCCTGGCCAGTGAATGCACAAATGCAGTTGCACGTGCGTTCCATCAAGACTCACATGCACGTGCAAATGTCTGGTCATCGAAGCCTGTCCTTCGCAAGTGCAGCTCGAGTGGAAGGTGGGGACAGCGCCTTGACGTTGTTGAACTTTTCCTGCGAGCTGTTACGCATCGTGCACGCACACACACACAAAGCATTTGCATGCATGCATGTTTCTGCACACTGCATGGAACATGTATACATGCACATGCATCCGGGAATGTTGGTGCACCAAATGACCCCGCGCGCCTTCATCTTGGCGCTGTGCGATCTGCCCGCAAAATACCCACGTTTTTCCGACCGTGCCACTGGAGACACATGAGGTAGTACCGCATGTTGCGGGTCGTAGGGGCAGGTCTCCATCTAAGCAGGGGAATGGTTCAAACATGCATGATGCATGCGTTTGCTTCTGCGCCCGTTTAATTGGCATGAAACAAATATTTTCTCGCCCAGCCTCATCCAAGGACAGACCAACAGCTGAGCACGGTGAAGCGCCCCCACCAGGAGCCACCTTTCCTCGGGCAGTCGGTCATGTGGACAAACCACACTGGAGCCTGCACAAAGAACATTCGGGTTTCGACCCATGCATTTACATGTTAAATTGGGTTTCGGTCCATGCATTGAGGTTTGATCGACTGACACATTGCCACATACTCATGCATGCGTATCATTCATGATAAGTTTCCATCCCGATCTGCTTTGATCTTGTTGATGTTCTGAATCAGCTCTTGAAGTTTGGCTCGCTTTTGGGTGGCTGAAGGGGGCGTGTGCGAAATGACCGCCGCATCATCGGCCTGAGCATCAGAGCCACCTGATCGCCAACAGTCGCACTAGACGTGGCCTCGACAGGCTCATCCACACACTCCGCAGCTGCCTCATCCACTGCCACCCGTTGGGCTTGCCCGTGCCCCCATCTGCCTTATCGGCCGCCACCTCGTCGGGCTTACCCGCCTCATCCACAGGCGCCTCATCAGGCTCACCCGCAGCTGCCTCATCCGCAGATGCCTCATCATCACCCGCAGCTGCCTCATCCGCAAGCGCCTCAGCAGGCTCATCCGCAGATGCCTCATCATCGTCGCGATCACTGGCCTGGTACTCCGTGTCGTCATCCACGATGCTCGCATTCGAGGATTCCTGGTTGTCACTGACCTCCTCATCGCTATCGTCTTTCGCAGATTTCAGCGCTCGCTGCAGAACTGCCTTTTTGCGTGCCTCACCAATAGCTTCAAAAAGCTCCCGAACGGCTTTTGCCTAGGATGTAAGCATGGAAGCTCTCTGGGAAAATGCAGGCATGCACCGTGAATCATTGCCATGCCTAGGACTATGCGCTAACATGTGCTGACTAGTTGCACATGGCTGCTGACCTCTTTTGGTCCTTCTGCCTCATGCTGAAGCCGAAGAGGCGCTTAAGTGTCCAAGCATCCATGTAGGCCTGGTTGGTGTTCCTGGGCGCAAAGCTCATCTCCCCATAGAGCTGCTCCAACTGACCCGTGCTACACATAGGAGCCGTAAAAAACGATCCGTTCGGTGCATCAAAATGTTCGATCACATGCTTCATGATCTTAAGATTTTTTTACATATAGCGCACGTGTACAATTTGTTGTTTCGCACACACACACACACTCGCCTGCTTTTGCAGCTTCTTCACCCCAGGCCGAGGTCGAACCCCAAAAACTCCAGCATCTCAATCAGGGGCATTCAACTTAATGAAGCTCGTGTTGGGGCGCACCTCTTCCCCATCCTCGCTGGGTGGCTCTGTGATCCACGGCCTTTCGTTCTGGAACCTCCGCCGAATGAGCACGACGCGTTCCCACCTCTTCCAAAGAGGCACCACCGGCATGGGCAGCAAAGGGGCACCCTGATCTAGGCTCGATCCTCTTTAAATTGCAATTGCCATACATGTGTGTCGATCCATGCATTTCCACATTGACTCTGTGCCATGTGCCAATGAACGCTCATTCGGGCGATCGATCAAACATGGCGCAGGGGCCTGGCATCCAAGACGCTCGAGCTGTCCATAGCATCAGCTCGGCCTGTAAAAAAAACATCGATCTCGAGTGTGTGGACGCGGCTGGGGTGCATGTACCGATGCTGCTCAGAGTTTGTTGCTGATGATGCATCCTTCAAACTCACGCATGGATTTGCTAATGCTGTCATGTAAATGCCTTGCAATGCTTGTTGCATGATCTTATGCCACATCTTTGCATCATCCATGATGCTTGATACTTCTCAGCAGCAACTGAGGTATGAAAAATCCATGTTTTGCAATATACGCCACTTACGCCAAATACGGCTACTTTCCACTGTGGCACTTAAAAACAAGCAACTACGCCTTTCCAGGTTGTTGGCTTGGACCATAGTGGCAAACAAGAAGTAGGTTTGTTTTTTTTGCCAATCCACTCAAGTACCCGCCCTACTCAAAATACCCGCTTTGTTCAGTCGGCATTGTTGGGAAAACCGGTTTCGGCTTTCCATGGTAAATACCAATCCCTTTTGTAGCTTGAAGGGTCGACATGATACCAACTGAAAAAAGGAAATGCCGGGTATTTGGAGTACCCCCTACACCCAATACCCACGTTTTTCGGTGTATTATGTCGACCCCCTACTAAAAAAAGGGAACGGCATTTACCATGGAAAGCCGAAGCCGGTTTTCCCCAAGATGCCAACTGAACAAAGGCGATGGTACTTGGAGGGGGTTTAAATTAAAGAAGATCCAGGCTCCCAAGCCTCGAGCTGTCCGAGCCGAACTGATAGGGTGATTGGCCCATTTTTGACGCGGGCCATGGAGACTCCAGGAAGCCTTGAAAGGAGGAGCTTCCCTCCCAAAAAAGAAAAAAGGCAGGCGGATGTTTGCCAGGGCCGTGACTTGGAAATCGGGTACTTGGGCGCAGACACCCGAAGTCTCCAAATACCCGCTGTGTGTGTGTGTCGCGCAAAGGCGACCTTTTTTCACCTTTTGGTTTTCCCTTGGTCCTTCAGCAAAGGTTCCAGCCTTTCTTTGATTGGGTCCTTTGGGCAAGTGCGCAGGTATATTTGGATAAGCCCGGCTGGAATTGTAAATGCCGATCCCTTGTTTGTCAGTGGGCTGACATGTGACATCATACCAACTCGACAAAAAGTGGGTCTTTGGTGGAAGCTTCCAATCGCTTAAGAATGTGATTTGTTTTCCCCTGTTGGCTTTCCTTTAAAGGGAATCGATTTCACTATTGGACATATTCTCATTTCTTCCAGGGGCTTATGCAAATGGAAGTAAGGCAGGTCAACGGTCTGAGCAATGTTCTGACTTACCCCCTGCTCCAAGTACCCGCTGTTGTTGGGGTAAACATTTTTAGGAAAACTGGGGGTTTTTCACGGTAAATGCCTTCTTTTTCAGTAGAGGGTTGACATGATACCCTGAAAAAGACGGGTAATTGGAGTAGGGGCAGACGATGGGAATTATGCCTTGTTTTTGGGGTATGTCTATTTGGGGTATGCAAGTTGGCCTCTAGACTACACCCTACTCCAAACGCCAACGCTTTTTTCGGAGGGTGTTGTTTTCGGAAAACGGGACGGTTTTCCACAGTACATGCCAGCCCATTTTTAGTAGAGGGTGGACATCATACCGACTGAACAAAGTGTTGGTATTTGGAGGTTTCGGGGTAGGTATCCACTGGTCTAGATATGTTTTATGCTCCATTGACCAAGAAACCCAGCAATTGCAAAAAGGGCAGAAGTGATCACACCCCAAGGAATTCGTCCGGGATGTTGGGCCCTCAAAGAAGCCCTTCTTTTAAAAAAAACAGCGGGCGTTTTTTGAAGAGACAGTGTTCCATGGCAAATACCTTCTTTGTTGGTAAAGGGTTGACATGATACCCTACAAAAAGGTTGGTACCTCCAAGTACCAACGCCTTGTTTGTTTAGTTGGCATCATGTCAACCAACTAAACGAATCGATTGTACCACAGAGAACCAGGTGGTCCAATCTCCTTTTGAGTTGTTTTTTACATATATCTTTAGACATATATATATATATATATGCTCCCCCGCCCCCCACTGGGGTGACCATTTTATATATCTACATATATATATATATGGACATAGGGGGTGTTTTGAGGGGGTGAACGTGTCTTAGGACTATCACCTGCTGGACTTCTCGGAGCGATTGAACACCAGCTCCTACGTGAACGTGGTCTTCGAACCAGACTCCCGGCAGCGGCTCCCGTGGGCTCCAGAGCTACCCCCTTTAACCGCCGAAGGCCAACCCCCTACACCCAATACCCATTTTTTTCAGGGTATGATGTCGGCCCTCTACTGAAAAAGGAGGTATTTACCATGGAACCCCGAATTTTTCAAATAGAAAGAGTGGGTATCTGGAGTAGGGGGAAGGCCTCTTTAGGCGGTTGGTGTCATGGTCGACCCTGGACCAAAGGGATGGCCGCATTTATATGGAAAACCCGGTTCTCCAAAACCCATTTTGCCAAAATGGTGGACAGCTCCACACCAAAATAGGCGCACAGGCACCTTTGAACCCTACCCTAACTGTATGGATGCCTACCCTCTCTTTTCAGGGACTCATGTCGAGCCTCTACTCGAAAAGGAGGTATTGACCATGGAAAACCGATCGGTTTTCTACCCAGAAATAAACAAGCGGGTATGTTGAGGTTACGGGGGTGGTCACAACCCCCCCCCCTTCTCCGTGGTCCTGGTCCAGGTTTGGTTTGACTCCGGGTGTGGGTTGCGCATGAACCTTTCAACCCTAGACCCATAAACCAAACCCGGAGCTACGACAACCGCAGGGCGAGAAGGGCCAAGGGGGGGTTATGCCCTCCAAGCTCACACGGTGTGGTGCCTTGCGATCTGTATGGGTCAAAATTAAACCAGCGGACCAAAGGCAGGTTTTGGTCTATGTTTCCACTTACCAAGGTGCCATTTGGGTATCCGTTTTTGACCCACAGCTATATGGCGGGGATAGGAGTAGGATTGAGGCTCAGTTTGACTGCTTGTGAGAAAAAACCTTGTGACTTTTGTCTTGCTGTTGTGAGAGTTCAGTGCTTCCATCGCATGGATAGTATCAAATTCAACAGATGTATGTCTTCGGGAACCCTGCTTTCCCATTGACCAGCCCAAAAAAACATGAGTTTGGGGCAGCAAGAGCCAAGTAAATGGCAGCCTCAAATCTTGGCAGTTCCGGAGAAAGGTGCACAGAAGGCAACTTATGGAACTGAGCCGCCAGTAGAAATGGCCGTTGTCAAAATTGCGATGGGATCATCCATTTTATGGGGTTTTCGGTGAATTCACCACCCATGTTAGAACCTGTGAAAAGTGCTTGGATTGGGTCGGATGTTCACTGCCCGGCTCCAATTCGATTTCTTTTGGGCTCTCAGAGCGCAAGGTTTTGAGACCGGGTCCAGTCCCAACTAGCTCTTCCCGGGGTGTCCTATGGGCCTTGGGAAGCTGAAGCCGATCGGAGCCTCTCGCATTTGCCATGGAAAACCTTTCTCGGTGTTCAAAGCAAGACCAACCCAGAGGCTCCAATTCGATTGATTTAGGGCCTTCGAACAACCTGGTTTTGGGGTCTTCCATTGAAAGCCCCAGGAGCCTCTGGGAACTGAAAAAAGCGGCTGGGTATTTGGAGGTTCCGGGGGGATGTAAAAGGGGTATGTAGAACCAGCTGATAGAAATGGGTGGCCCGGAGCGACCGAGCGACCCGCTGAGGAAGAGGAGCGAGTGGCCATGATGGGGCTCAGGGTGAACCTCGCGGATCAAACCGTGCGCCTCGGATCCGTCGATCCGACCGCCAAGTCCAAAGCCCAGAGAAGGCCCAGACGCCCAGACCCCCGCAGCCTCCAAATACCATTTATTTTGTTTTCCGTTGGTATTCTTGGAAAACCGAAAAAGGCTTTCCATGGTAATTCCCTCCAACATTTTGATAGACACCAAGCCACTCAGACAGTGAGTAATATTTTGTATTTGCCTTGGTTGGTGTTAAGGGGAATCGATTTCACTACTGGACATCTTGTACCATTTTTATGCCGGAGGCGAAAGCAACTGGAGGACGTTCAACGAAAAAGCCAAGGTTTTGGAGCTCGCCTACACCCAATCAACACACACTTTTTCCGGTGCTGCCAGTCACCGCTATAGAGGGAAATCATATCAATCTTCCCCCCGAAAGCTCCAAATACCCACTTTGTTCAGGTATGTGTTGTCAACACTTTGCTAAAGAGGGCTTGGCATTTTCCCCGGCCCTGAAACTACCCAGTAAGAAGGGAGTAGAAAGCTAAGGTTGGTGGAAGGCCTAGAAGTTGAAAGCCCCAAATACTCGTCGTGTTTTTTTGTTTTTTTTTTCTTGTTTTGTTTGTCCCTGTCTTTTTTGTTTTTTTTTGTTCTTTGTTTTTTTCTTGTTTTGTTTGTCCCTGTCTTTTTGGTTTTCTGGGATTTTGCTTGAACAAGCTTTCCCAAAGTGAATGGTTGACATGATACCCCCCGCATGGGCAAGATTTGCAGGTCCAATATCATGGTGGCTTGGGAGTGTATTTTTGTATATGAATACGAGCAACCGGGTTTTGGTAGATATCGATCTCTTGTTTAGTACAGGATTCACATCATGCCCTATCATATTCTGGGAAAGTGGGCGGATCATACCCAACCGGCAATGTGTTAGGTGGTATATTCTTTGAACCACCTGGTTTTTCATGTTGACGAGTTTGTGTTTTTGAGGCTAGGATATGATACCCTAAAAGCAGTTGGTATTTGGTTATGGGAGGGGGTAGGGGGCAGATCTGCCTGAAATACCAATGGTCTTTTTAGGGTATGATTTGCCAACCCTGCAAAAAAGGGATCGGTATTTACATTAGACAAGAAGCTGAAAACACTTGGTATTTGGAGTAAGGGGTACAAGCCCCCCTCAAAAACAAGGAAGCGGTGTTCCTGTTGGTTCGCCTTTTAAACCACAAGAGAAGGTACCCTCCAAAAAAGACACGCCCATTTAAACAACCTTGTGTTGAGGGGATACTATCACTAGATCATTGTGTTGAGGGGTTTGGTTCAGGGATACTATCACTAGAGAATGATGTTGAGCTTTGTTAGGGAGTCGGGGGGGGTCCCTTTTGAGCATACCCAAGTGACCATTTGAGGAATCCTCAAAAAGTGTACCACGGTAACCTCCAAATACCCGCTTTGTTGAGTTTTGCGTTTTGGTAGCCTGGGTTTTCCAGGGTAAATACCGATATTTGTTCTAGTACCAAGAATGCTCAAAGGTTCTTGGAGACAGCAATCAAGGACTTGATGTTGACTCACGTTGACACTAGGGAATAGATGTTACTCACCAAAATCGCATGGTGGGGAATGAAACAAAGATTGACTGTCATCCACACGGATATAATGGGGACCATCTTGTGGACCTGATTAGGGTGGGATTTGTGTCCGCCAACCACTTATTTGAGGACGGTCCAACACGAAAAAATCACGCACGAGTCCCGTTTACCTTCCAAAAGCTGAACATGTTTGGGTCGGATCCGTTTGTTCCAGAACTAGCCCCTACTCCAAATATCCGGCATTTTTAAGGGTATCATGTCGACCCTCTGCAAAAAAAGCAGGTAGTTACCGTGGAAAACCAGGTTTTCAAAAAAAAAACAAAAAACTTTGAGTAGGTGGTACACCATTTGAACAAAACCTGTGCTAGTCCCCCTTGTTTTTTGGGGTTGGATAGGCCAATTTTTCTTCGGCCAAACAAGTAGAAGTCGGAAATTAGAACTCAAAAGATCAACCCGGGGAAAACGGATCCGGTTTTCGAAAAGAACGATGCTTGAAAAGAATGGAAAAGGAAACAAGTGCTAGAGCTTTGTTTGTTTCTTCGGCCAACTGTTTGTTCAACGTGGGAAAAGATGCGGTGTTCAGGTATCCTGAGTCCTTCCGCATGCACAACGACACGCTGAACATGAGCCTTGGACCGATTTGAACGTGATTTAGCAGTTGGCTCCCTACCCCCGAATCACCTCCAAACACCCGGCGTTTGTAAGTTGTTGGGTGTGGAAAACATGCAATGGTGTTCCATGGCAAATATACCTCTTTTTAACAGCAAAGGGTTGACATGATACCCTTAAAAACCGGCATTGGCCGTGGGGGTGGGGTCTGTTTCCTTGTTTGGTGTGCAAACATCACCTTGTTGGCCCATTTGAGCTGAGTTTCACTGTGTCGCGGAAGCAAAAAGAAGCGCGCGACTTTAGGGGGTCGCTTCGAGAACTGCCTTTCAAGTATCCCTAAGGCTCATCCAATGCAGGCCCACGGGCCCTCCACTGAAGAACCCCGAGCAATTCTTGAGGCCCAAAAGTCACCGAAGAGCCTTAGGGATACTGGATATACTGGTAGGAGATGCTCGAGTTGATCTCGAGCTCTTGAAATTGTTTGGGCCGAAGCTGTCAAGAGACTCCGCGGCTAAAAGGATGGATATTCACCCTGGTGTCAACCAGGTTGTCCCAAAAGTATCTTGGACACCAGGACTTGGTTACCACGCGCTTCCATCGTACATGCTTTGCACTTGGGACTCGGTACTTTTTAGGGGCATTATTCCTCTTCAGGGAATGATGTTGACCCTCTACTAAAAACGGAGGTATTTATCCTGGAAAATCCGGCTTTTCAAGAAATACCCACTGAAGAAAGCGATGGTATGTGGGGTAGGGGGTATGTTTCGCGGGGGTGTCTCTTCCTGAGATGTCAATGTTGATGGGTTGCTGCGGGGCTCTGTTGATCAAAGTGGGGAAGTATATATCGTATCCCTCCAACGACCCCGGCCTTTCTTGGGGTTTTGTGTCAACCCTGTACAAAAACCTGGAGTCTCCAGGACACTTAAAAACATGGGTCCATGACCCCTTTATTTTGGATAATGACCCCATTCTTTAAGGGTCAGAAGGAGACTCCAGGAAGGAGGTAATTACACAAGATAACTGTCCACTGAACCCCAAGGAACCCTAAGCAACCCTATGGAACTGTCAGAAGCCGTAAGGAACCCTGTAGGGCTCTCGACTACGGACCCCCCATTGTACCTACCTTTCTTAGGGTTTTTGCATCGAAGATTGTGGTTTTCCTCCGGTTTTCCTTGAGAACCAGCCGCCTAAGCGGTAGCGAGGCTCAAAAGGAACCCAGAAAAAGTGCACCAGCCAATGTTTTGGTTTTCGGCTTAACAGCCCCTGGGAAGTGACCCCTAGAAATTCCATGTTGTGTTTTTAATCATCCTGGACCCCCAAAGCACCCCAATGTTGTTTCCGCCTTTGTACCAACCTTTTTTTGGGTCAAAGGCAGAAAAAAAAAGGGGTCCTCTGGGGGTCCAGGATGGTAGCTAACGGGTATTGGGTGTGGGTTCGAATGGCTGAACTATGGTACCTGGACCCTCGACGAACGCCACGAAGGAACGCGCCAACTAAGAAAAAATGGTTGGCAACCCGTGGGCAGTTTCCTCAATCTAGCGAAGAAGGAACTCACCGACCATTTTGCCTGGCAGCCCGTGATGTTTCTTCTTCTTCGGGTCCAGGTGATGGGCTGTTTCTTCGGGTCCAGTAAAAACGAAACCCATTGCTTTCATGGCCCGGCATCCCCAAGCAGGAAAGGGCTATGAGCTGTGAGTGGGACGAATGAATTTAGTGAAATTTGGGGATTTTAGGATCCCTTGGGCGTCCTTTGTGGTGGTTTTGGTAGAGAAATAGATGGCGATTCCGGGTTTACCTGGCGGTTTAATCATCTAACAGGGAAGCCCATCTATTTCCCCTAGCAGGACACCTGAAGGGCTTGCTTTCAACTTACGGAGCCCCAGACATGGTGAGTGTCCATTGGGTTTCCCTCTACAATCCACCAAGAGAAGGGCACCGAGCCTCAAAAAGACAGACCCACGTCACATGTGGGTTTCGCGACCTTTACACTTCCAAGAAAACGTGTGCCCCGGGTTCCTTTTTGGGACGTCTCGGTTGTTCCACTCAATTGGCCATGGGCAGCACCTATGGCTCCATTTCGGGGTGGATGAACATCCATTTGCCACCTATTTTGATGTTCACCAGGGGTACAGGGTTTGACCCACAGCCAACTGGAAGCAAGTCAGGGCTTGTTTTCAGGTTACCCAAGTGTTTGGTCACCCTGTGAGCTCCCTCATCCTAGCCTAAAAAAATGATCCTTGCACCTAGGTGTGTGGTTGGCGAAGCACTCGAAGATTTTGTATTTCCCCTGTTGGTTGTAAAAGGAATTGATCACTACTGGACATATTTCTATTTTTTCCGGGGGGGGCTTAAGCAAATGGAAGCACTGGTTATGGTGAACCGATATTGAATCGAGGCCACAGCTACGGGAAGGTCCGATTTTCGAGCTTAGAGTCGGTGATCCTTGAAGCATTGCAGGGTGCAAAGGGCGGGAGGATAGCCTGGGTCTTGATGTAGTTGAATTTCCTGGTTTCAGGTTGAGCCTTTAGGTACTTGAAAGCCCAAGAAGAAAACCCCACCTAGATCCCCCAGTAGTGCCCTATCTCACCCCTTTTCTGGGGGAGCGTTCCCCCACTAAAATAGACAAAAAAAGCAAAACGGGTGCCCTTATTCTTGCCTCTCTACTCGATGACCTAGTCAAGCACAGCTTTCAAGCACAGCTGGATGAACTTTACCCCAAAAACCGATCGCAACAGTGACTGAACAAAAAAGGCAAAAAAAGCAACTTGGCTAGGCAGCATACTCCAGAAGGGAGTTCCCCCACTAAAATAGAAAAAAAAACATGGAAAACAGGCGATCTCGGCAGCCCACTCCAGAAGGAAAGCCTTTCCCAAAGAGAAGCCTCGCTCGGTCCGAGGATCGCCAAGCTTTGGCACTGCCCCAAGCCGGAGGATGGATCGAAGAGGCGAAAGAGGAATCTAGGGGTTGATTCCTTTCTTATTCTTTTCAACCATCGTTCTTTCCAAAAACCGGCAAGCCGTTTTCCCTGGGTTTCCGGAGGGATTCTAGAAAGATTCGGATCCCTGGAAAGAATGGGGAAGGTACCCCTAGAAATCTGGGTGAAAGCTGCCCCCGTAACCAAATTCCAAATACCCGTTTTTTTTTTTTTTTTCAGTTGGTATCATGTCCGAGCTTCTACTAAAAAAGGTTTGGCATTTGCCGTGGGAAGCCAGGTTCTCCCAAAAAATGCCCTGAAAAACGCGGGCAATTTGAGTAGGGGGTGGGGTCTCCCAACATACTGTGGATAGACGAAATCCATTTCGCACCAGCTGAGAAGCCCTGGGATGATTCGATTCCCCTGTAAATACCAATAAACAAGGCTTTTAACCAGGGCTTTCTAAGTGGTGCGAGAAGCGGATTTCGCTATGGAGAAATAAGCTATAAGTGGCATTGCAGCAGATCTTGCACTTTGATGAGTTTTGGCTGGGAGGGATCTGGGCACGAAGCATCCATGGACCCACGGCATCCATGTGGTAGCCTTAAAATTTATGGCATATTATGGCATCCACTATCCTATGTTTGCGTTTATGAGGCTTAGAGCGGGCCCAGGGCGTACAAAAGGGGGCCCGTCCCCCTCACTGAGCAGGGGTTTCGCCAAATCGACTTGCCAGGGCGTAAAAGAGGGGGCCCGTTTTTATCGCTAAGGGGTTTCGCCAAATCGACTATGCCATCCGCGAGGACTTCGAGGAGTACGGCTGCTACGCCGGCGCGGGCACCGTGGGCTCGACTGAGGCAGGCGGCTCGAGCGGCTCGAGTTCGTGTCTGTTTGGGCTCGGGGGAGGGGGACTCAACATGTTTCAGTTGCTATTTTTGGGAAAACCGGTTTCGGTTTTCCGTGGTAAATACTGATCCCTTTTTTAGTAGAGGGCCGACAAATCATAGCCGCCTGAAAAAAGGCCGGGTATTGGGTGTAGGGGGAACACAACCCTAACCCAGAAGGGTGCGGCGGTATCTTAGAAACCTGCATCCCCAGTTACATATCTTTATGTTCCAGCCACTTTTGCCAAATTATGGGCTTGGCTGGAAAAAAGTAGCGACTTGGGGATCCAGGTAAGGGTTGATTCCAATCATTCTTTCCAACCATTGTTCTTTTCGAGAACCGGCCTTTTCCCTGGGTTTCCGGAGGTTTGCTAGAAAGAAGGATCCCTGGAAAGAATGGGGAAGGTAGCACTAGAATGTTGGTTTTCCGTCGGTTTCCCCTCAAACCAACCCACCCCCCAAAAAACGCCGCCCATTTGAGTGTTTCCGGCTGAAAGGTTTCTTTCACTGATGGGCACAAATCTAAACCGCCAGCTGGGCGGTTTCTCCCGGGTTTGTCCATCCCAATTGGCGCTCCACGGTCTCGCGAATGCAACTCTGCTTGATGCACTTAGAACTGCACCATGTCAACCCTGTACTAAAACAGGCAGAGTTTTACCTGGGAAAAACCAGGTTTCCAGCAAATGCCAACTGAACATAGTACTTCCAGTTACTACTTGCTAGGTAAGGGTACTTCACCTGTAGGTTTTACCTGATTTCCCCTGATTACCATGCAACTGCAAGCACTCCGAGCTGACTTCTGGTGCTACCAACCTGGTTATGAAGACCCATAATGCCAACATAGAATTACTAAGCTCACGTTGTTAGTCTGGCTGGGCGGGGCAATCCCAATGCTACCAATCCCCCTCGAATCAGTTTGGCCCTTAACCCCAAAACCCCAAATATCAGAGAGGTGGCCCCCCCAGCAGCCAGGTACATTTGTTCATTCAGTTGGTTTGCTTATTGTGTTCCACCTTATTGTCACTGCAATATGCTGTTAAATCAAATCAATGATCCTGAAGTCCATGAAAGACTAATGGGAGTTTAAATCCAACGCATACGAATTCAACTGGGAAGTTAAATCGAACAGATAGTCAATCAAAACAATTGCACATTGCAACTCAAATCAAATCTCACAAGGAAAATCCAGCAATGCTAAACCAAATGGAAAGTCAAATCCAACAAATACTAAATCAAAAATCAACTGCAAGGAACAAGCTCAAAAGGAAGCTCCAGCAATGCTAAATCAAATGTCAAATCAACTCCAACAAGTACTACGTCAAATGGAAACTGAAATTCAGGCAAATACCATGTCAAATCCATTGCAAACCAAATCAAATCTAGAAGGGAAGATCCAACAATTCTAAATCAAATGAACCCATGGACGGAAGGTGCTTTTGGAATCCTTTTGGATTTTTTCCTCATTCCCAATTTACAAGTATTGCCCAATACCAAGGTAGCCTTCCTGGGTATCGAGGACCCATTGCTTTGGGTATGACCTTCTAGACCTTCTAGACCTTTGTACCCACTACATTCAATACCCGGCCTTTTTGCAGGGTATCATGTCGACCCTCTCTCTACTAGAAAAGGAGGTATTTACCTTGGAAACCAGGTTTTCCCAAAATTACCATGACAAAAGTGGGTATTTGGTGTAGGGGGTAAGTATAACAGATCCCTGCTACTCCAAGCACCGAAGCTGCCCAAATGGCCAACAGGAGTCGGTTCTGAGTGCGAACAACAGCCTAAGCTGGAAGCAGTTTCCCTTATGTAGACGCAACCAAGAACCCGGTTCAGAACCCAAGTTTTCCCCGCACGTTAGGATCTTTTTCGAACTAGTTATAACCCCTGTTACCACCAAATACCCGGCTTCTTTTGGTTTGCATTTGTTTGGTTTGAAAAAGCAGGTTTTCCAGGCTAACCACCTCATATTTTAGTAAAGGGTTGACATGATACCCTAAGAAAGGACATTTCAGTATGTATTGTACGTAGGGGGTACAGTTTAAGGTTCACTCAACCACTTGGACTTCCAAACCAAACATATTGTCTGGGGCTGGAGCTGAACCAAATTGTGAGACAGACCCTGCGAAATCAGACATCGGACGGGCTTGTGTTTTGCGGGTTTGTGTTTTTTGAGAGTACCCTTTTTCGATTAGGTTTAAATGACAACGACTGCAATACCACTATTTTGGGGTTCCCACATACCCATTCCCGGGGAAATTTATAGCTCGTCCCCCTCCACGTCCCAAGTAGGCCATGGACAAATCCGTCGGTTTTGACACCGCAAATGAGCGCACAAAACCAGTTGTATAAAGGTGTACCCCCACTCCAAATCTTGCATACCCTCTTTTTTAGGGTATCGTTTGGAAAAAAAAAAACGATCGGTGTTTCCTGATAATTACCGATCCGTTTGTTAGTCAGGGATTGCCATCATACCCCGTCATACCCTGAAAAATGGGTATAGGGTGGGTACATTTGCTATCCCAATGACACCCGTCGCAAAAAAAAGAAAGCTTTCGCTGGTTTTAAAGAAGCCAGTAGGAACTTCTACAGAAATGTGTCAAACACCTAAAAATCGGGATTTCATATACCTTACGCGAGTCGATTCGCGAGGCGTGCTTGTTGGCCGGGCTCGCCTTGAAGTTCCGGTGGCGCAAGTGGTACGCGCCTTGGACCGAAAATCAACTGCTTCGATCGGAGCTGTGGGCAGGGTTTTTCAGGGTAAATACCTCCTTTTTTAGCAGAGGGCCGACATCATACCCTGAAAAAACCGGGTATGTGGAGTAGGGGGTGTGCTCTATGTCTAGGTCCCCCCAGCAATTGGTGCCCTTCTCTCACCAACTTTTTGGGTTGGGAGATTCGGTTCCCCTAGTTGGTTGTGGGTCAAAAATACCCCCCGGAACCTCGAAATACCCGGCCTTTCTTTTTTCAGTTGGTATCATGTCGACCCTCTACTAAAAAAGGTTTGGCATTTTCCATGGAAGAACTATTTTCGCTTTTCCCAAAAAATCCAAATGAATAAATCGGGGATTTTGAGTAGGGGGTAGGAACCCAAAATGGAATGGAACCCTGGACTGACACCTGCGGTCTCCTGATGGATTCATTTTGACCCATACCCACGTCCGACTTCAAATGAGGGATCCCCAACATACTCCGCCTCAAGGACATGTATTCGGGTGGAACAGGGGCTAAAACCCCTGTAAAACGAAGGCGGCCAATAGAAGGACTACGCCTGCGGCAAGGTGAAATCCCCTGTAAAGCGAAGGCGACCCTTTACAACGAAGCCTCCGAAGAAGCAAACAGTTTCTACGTTTGCACCTTTTCATTTTGGAGATAGCTCAAGTAACCTGCCTTTGATCAGGGATGATTTGTCAACCCCTGACTCCAAAAGGCGGTAATCCCAAGGAAACGTAGTTTGTTCAACAAATTACAATACAACAAAAACAACATGTATTTGGAGCAGGGTGTGTGTGTGTGTGTGTTTGTGTCTTGTAGTCGGTACCTTTTTTGCTGCTTGTTTGTTAAGGGAAATTAAACGAAAAATAATCATGTCCCGAACTCAGACGGTGTTTTCTAGCTGTTGGTAAGCAGGACTGGGAATGGTGGACTTTCACTCACTTTGAGTTGGTATGAATGTCAAATAACCGTACCCCTGCCTGAAAAAGGAGGCATTTGCCATGGCAAACCACACATTTTTGCGAACAAAATGGGTATTCGGGGTTTCGGGGAATATGTTGAATGTACCCGAGCTCGATGTCCCGCTTTGGTGGGTCGTCGTGGTCTTTTGCATCGTTTTGAATCCGTTTGGGTCGTCGAAACTTGCTGCTTCGCAGCCGGTTCCAGAAAGGTGTTTAAGCGGGTTTAAATTTGTTTTGTGGTGGTTGTTGTTTTTTCAAGTAACCCACAAGTGTTCAAGCTTACAGGTACCCCCTACTCCAAATACCCATCTTTTTTCAGGGTATCATGTCGACCCTCTACTAAAAAAGCCGGTATGTACCATGGAAAACCAGGTTCTCCAAAAAATACCCTTAAAAAGCGGGTCTTTGGAGTAGGAGGCCGTTGAAGTGTTTTTGGAAAGCAAGAAGGAGCCTGTGGATTGACGAGTTGAAACCATGGCTCAGTGGTGTTACCAGGGGAACCATCCGAAACCAGGGTTTCTGACCGTTGGTGCCGACTGGATTTCATCCATACCCGCCTTTGTTTCGGGTGTTTTTGCAAGAACCTGGTTCTTCATGGTAAATACCAAGCCGGTTTAATAGTAAAGCCTCGACATACCCCAAAACAGAGAACAGGTATTGGATGGTTACGGGGAAGGAAGAAGACCGCCCTTTGCGAATCCCCAAATTTTGGTCTTGAGAGCCCTTCTTTGGCCCCTAACCACCCAATACCGGGCCGTTCTTCCGTTGGACTATAGAAACAAGGGAGCAGTTGGAACCACTACAAGTGCAACTTACTCCAAGTACCTATTTTTATCAGGGTATGTTGTCAACCCTCTACTTAAAAGGCTTGGTATGTCCCTTGGAAAACCGATCCTTTCTTCAACAACACTAAAGCAAGCATTGGTATTTGGTGTAGGGGGTATGGTTAAATTTGGCCTCTCGTCATGTCGGCACGCACATTGATACTCAGACCACCATTACATGAAACCACCTTATATGTATAATATTAATATTTACTTGCTAGCATGTCGACATGTACTTATATACGCAACACATAGATGTATTCATGTATACATGGCGGTGGGTCAAAACCAATGGTACCAATTTGGGGTAGGTGCACCACCCATTTTATTCTATTTTAGGATTGGGATGTTCACTGGGGGTACGGGATTTTGATCCATGGCCACATGTGTATGCTTGTTTGTACCCGGCATAAGGCAGGGTCGCTCGCGACGTCGCTCGCGACAAACCTGAGGCGAAGAAGACGGGGCAATCCGCTGACAAGGTCCGGGGCGTGTACCCCAACATCGCAGCTTGGGCCGCATTGTTCGCAGTGACCAGTGGCATGTGGAAAATGTGCGTGTGTGTTTTGTGTTGTGTGTTTGCATTTGTGTTTGTTTTTCAGTCGGTATTTTAGGGAACACCGATCGGTTTTCCATGGCAAAAACCACACCTTTTCAGTCGAGGGTCGACCTGATACCAACTGAAGAAGTCGATGGCATTTGGAGGTTGCAGGGGTGTGGCTATGGCGGGTTTCTGGGGCCCCTTCTGCTCCGGGCTCGCGCGCTCCAGCGGAACCGTCAGGTGATCTCCACCATGTTCCAAGCAGCCTGGGAGAAGTTGCGTCTCGGCGACCAACCTTCCCCAGAATTAGCTCCCCGTTTTGCTTTTTTGCTTTTTTGGGGGTCCCTTTGTTTTCCACTCACCTGGCAAAAAAGATATATGTTTTTGCTGGGGTCCTAATTCCAGCCTAGCAACGTGACTCAATGTCCCCGAACTCCCACGGCTCGTGGTTTCCACTTGACCGCTGCGAGAAAGAGAGATATTGTGGTGCACTTGCCTTTGACAGACGGCCGAATTTGAGAGCAACAAACATGACCTTCCCAGGAAAGTCTCAATCTTCAACTTTACTGTTGTTGGCAAGGTGAGCCACACTCAAAACCCGGGTAGATAAAGGTTTGCAGGGCGCCTTTGCATTTCCTTGCGTGGTTCTGGGTAGACCATTTCAATGCCGGGTTTTGAATGTGTCTGACTTCCTCAGTTTCTAGAGGTTAGTGATTCGCTTCCTGAGTTTATGGAGGTTTGGGCCATAGTGATAAACAGAACATTTGCTTCTCCCGAAAGATGAATCCGAGCCAATGCAGTGGATTTCCTGAAATTCACCTTGTGTAAGTGGGTGGTATTGTATAGTGGTTGTACCACCCGTAATTTTGGACAGCCGCCCACACGGGTTTTCTTAAAGTATTGAGGGTTTTTGTGACACCAAGTTTCATAATATCCATCTGAGCAGAATTGAAAGGAAGTGAGGGTCTGTTCCTTTTAAATCAACCACAGAAAAAGGGCGCCTTTTTCGCCCCTGGCCACTGGGGGTGGTTCCTTGGGCTTTGAAATGGAGGTTACAGGAACATTGTTCATGACATACCGCCTACTCCACATGCCGGTACACTACATTCATGCTGCTCACTTCTACCAAACCACTAAGCGGGTAGCAACCCTGGTTGCAACCACCCAATAGCCACTTGTTTCAGGGTATGGTAGGGTATAAAAGGAAATCCCTTTCTAAAAACGGAAGTATCTACCATTGAAAACCTGGTGTTCCAACTCTGAACAAAGCGAGTATTGGGAGCAGGAGGATTACATCCTACTTCCGAAGCGGCCGCAGGTAGGTGATTGAAATAGTTCGCGAGCGGTTTCCCTGCATACCCTTTGCTCCAAATACCAACGTTTCTTTAAGGAAGTGTTGGAAACCCCGTTTTCTCCATCCCCATACCCCAATACCTGAGAGGGCATGATGTCAACCCCTTTCTCAAAAAGGGGTCGATCGGTTCTCCGAAAATTACTGAAACAAGACCGGGTGCTTGGAGAACAGAACACCCTGACAAAAATGGGTCCATTTGCTGAAATAAATATCTTGATATGTTCCCTTGTTGGTTTTAAACTGATTTCACTAGTGGAAATTCGTATTTGTTCAAGGGGACTAAACTTTTGTGCATTTTGCTTGGCTGTTAGGACTTTAACTTTTTGCCAACTAATGGGTTTTCCGAACTAAACCACTAAAAGCTATTCACTTTTAGCAGGGGAGCAGAAAGCAACCGAGTAAAGTAAATGGAGGGTTATTGCCCCAAAACTACGAGGTGTTCTCCCTTTCTTCTTGGTGATTTAAGGGTTAGGTCGGTTTTTTTGTTTCTTCTTTTTCTCCAATCCTCGGGCTTAGGCCGACTGGGTTCATCCAATTGGCCGGACATGTGGCTTTGACCTTTAAAGTTTTGGTGCCACCCAAGGGGACAAAGCGCATGCGAAAGGGACAAACAACAGAAGCCGAACTCCAGAAACGACACAAGCAGCAGGTTCAACAGGTCAACAATGTCCTCATCGCTTGTGGAAGGGCTTTTCGCTTGTGCTGAGGTCCCTACACCCTATACCCACTTGTTTGGGGTTATGTTGACCCTTTACTAAAAAGGGATCAGTATTTGCCATGGAAAGCCGTTCGGTTCTCCAAAAATGCAAGCTGAGAAAAAGTGTTAATATTTGGAGGTTAAGGGGGTGGATGGACCAAGAACACAACATCGCTTTTTGTTCGGGGTATGGTGACCCTTTACGAAGACAGGAAGTATTTACGTGGAAGTCCAGGTTCTCCCAAAAAATACCCTGAACAAAAGGCGGGTATTTGGAGGTTACGGGGGTAGTGGTGCCTTGTTTCTTTGCCATGGAGCTGCGCTGGGATTTGGGACATCACAGGTGGGTTTCCTTAAGCCCTGGTCCGATCCATTGTGCAAGCAAAAGCCCTGGTACCGCACAGTAAATTAGAGATCTAAACCCGCAAACCCGGAAAACCATAGTTGAACCCCCACAATCTTAGTTGGCAGTATCCATTGTGTTACCTCTTCAGAGAAATTCATTGTTGTAAATAGTTCCGCGAGTATTCTTCTCTTTCGTAAATAGACAGATGTTCGTTTTGTCCAGCTACGTTCGGGTAGTCGGGTTGTCCCCGTTTCATCATGAATCACGGACACTTCAACTAGGTCCCCCAGTAGTGCCCTTTCTCACCCTTTTTTGGGAGGGTTCCCCCACTAGACTCGACTACAGAAAAAAGTGGGTACCCTTATTCTAACCTCTCAAATCTGGAGGACCTAGTCAAGCACAGCTTTCAAGCACAGCTGGACCATGAACTTTACCCCAAATGGTAAATACCGATCCCTTTTTTAGCTTGAAGGGTCGACATGATACCAACTGAAAAAAAGAAAAGGCCGGGTATTTGGAATTTAGTTACGGGGGCATCCCTGGATCCCATGCTGAGGTTTAAGTACATGGACATCGAGCCCCGTTTCGTGCAGCCCAGCTACAAGACCTTCACCTTGGACCCTTCCAAGCTCAAGGCAAACAAAATCCGATCGCCTCGAAGCATTCGAAGCTCAGAAGGTGTCAACGTGTGGCCGTTGGACTTGGACTCCTCAGTGGATCGAATGAACACACCCACCAAACACAATGGCTTCGAACGTGTCGTTTAAACAAAAAAACAAAAAGAACGGCTTCTGACGTGCCGATTTTCTTTTTTGTTGGACGACTCCAGAGTGGTTTCCTGTTTTCCGCCGACATGGCGGTGCTTCTCTTGGCTGTTCTCTGAAACCAAGGTTTGGTATCTGCAAAAAGACCAGCTCTAACATGGGCCAGGTGAGTGCCCAAAAGTGATGACCTTTTAATTCCGGGCCCCCAATTGAAAGAAAGCTAAGGCCGAACAGACCCTGGAACAGGGCATCGATCCTTTGGATCCTCTTCAAATCTTTCTGGACCCTCAAGCTACCCCAAAACAAAGGGAATTAGCCTGAGACATTTGGGGCGATGAATGATGGGCAGTTTGAGGGTCCAGGTAGAATTTGTTTAGGGTATCATGTCAACTCTTTACCAAGAAATGCCAGGTGAAAAAAACGTTGATATGTGGAGTAGGGGGTAGACTTAAACCCGGTTTGGGAGAAATCAACACCCTTGCATTGAACTACAGTCTAAAATGGAAAAATGGACCGGCAAGGAACTTGGGGGGCATGCCTGCTTGCGACTGGGTGCAGAGCCCCCGAAGACTCCAAAAGCCTTCTTTTCAGTTTTCAAGGAAGGATGGTAACAACTAGGTGCACGGCGTGTAGACGGCCGTGGTGGTTTCAAGGGATTTTTCGGCCATGCATGCAGCGTTCTGCGTCGGTGTTGCAGTGTGATTCGCAGCACGCACTCTTGTTTTCTTCTTTTTGTTTCTCTCTTTCTCTTGCGCAACGCGGTTTTTTGCAGTCCAAAATGTTGCGCCAAACTACTTTCTACAACAGCGTGCGCAGCTCATATCGGAAACGGACTGCTGACATCTGCGGCAAAATCCTCACTGCTGGATAAATATGCAACTAGAAGGTACCAAGTGATGCCCAGGCACTCCCATGTCGGCATTGGAGTCGCGGGGAATTGGCGCAGACCCCAAGTGTCTAGAGTCTAGACAAAACAAAGGCACAAGCAGTCAAAGCAGGGGCAAGGCAGCCCACCATCCGTGCAAACATACCGAGGCCAGGCGGACGCAAGCGAAGGATGTTCAGTCAAAGAGGTGAAGCAAATCGGACCACGGTGGGAATCAATGGAGGCAAGAATTACGAATTCAAGCACAGAATCTCCACGCGAAATGGTGCAGAAAACGTCAAGATGATGGTCCAAATACCAGGGACAAGCAGACCAAACCCCCAATAGAACCTCAGACCGGTTTGGGGGTGGAACGCAAGCCAAACGCAAAAGCAGAGCGCCGTGCACCAACTACTTGTCCCTTCTTTAGTAAAGGGTTTGACATGATGCCCTATCACACCCTGAACGAGCCACTCAGCACGCAAGGGTGCAGGCGGACAAAGTGGCTCGGATGGTTTTGCTTGTGCCAGGACTATGTGGATGATCAGACCATTGGAGTGGTTTGCATCATGGGCAACCACTACGGCGGGCAGCGCCTCGGTGAGATCAAAATCCAAGAGGGGAATTGGATAAAGACAGCCACCAGCAAAACTTGCTGTGGTTTCCAACGGCAAACACAGAAGGGTCAGGCCGAGAATCCCAAATGGGAACCCGAAGAGTGAACAGAAGCCCTACATCAAATGCCAACGCCTTTTTGAGGCATTGCTTTTCTTGGAAAAATCCGGGTTGCAAGGTAACTACCTGCTTTTTCGTAGAGGGTTGACGTCATACCTGGGAAAGGTGGTATTGGGTGTAGGGGGGCAAGCCCTAGTTTGATTTTGACCAGAAAGCCCCAATCATCTCCTTGAAATAGTTTTAACACCATAGGGCCATGTTGAGCTTAGATTATGCCCCCTACACCGTATACTCAGCTTTGTTTTCTTGTGGCTTTGACCCCGAAAAAACCGATCGTTTCTCCCAAGAATCCCCCTGAAAGAAGGCGGGCAGCCTCCGAAAGCGAGGCCGCGGTACTTGGGTCTCACTCCCGGAGTTCCTGAATCTTGCACTTGACTCGAAAAAAGGTTTCTCACTTCTCGAGTTGCTGGGACTTGGTGCTGTTTGGGAAGACCATTTTCGTAGAAAATGGAAAGTTTGGGCTCATCCACTCAGGTTTTCCTATGGAACCCACCAGAGGGTCCATGTTAAAGGATCCGATGGTCTTCCAGGACCCAGTCAGGTTCCATGTTAGTGGGCGGGAGTTTTTGGCCAGTCCACGGAAGTGAGTCCTTACCTCCATTGGCCGAAATGAATATTGATTTTATTTTCCCTTGTGGGTTTTAAAAGGAATTCATCACTACTGGACAGATTTTCATTTTTTCCTTTGGCCTTAACCAAATGGAAGCCTATTTCTGGTTTCTATACCCTTCAAAACTATACCCTTCAGATAGCGGGTACCCTTGTGAATCCGCCGGGCAAGAACCTATGTTTATAGCTAGCTTTTTCGGGTCCAAGTTCATATTTTGGGGTCGACAATTTGTCTGGTTGCCTCACAGCTTTTGTGATTTCCCCCCTACTGCAAATACCTGCTCTTTCCAGGGTATCATGTCAAGCCTCTGCCAAAAGCACGCCCAAAATAAGCGTCGGTATTTAGTGTAGTGGCTCAACTTTCCGCAAGTCACATCGGTCATTGGCCCCGGGCGATTGAACAGTTTCGGACTCGGATCCGTCTGAAACTTTGGGGGTTCATGGACTCGGAATTTGATGCGGAAAGCGGCATCCCCAGCAGGGGATCTGAGGACAGGTCAGAATCATGGTTGGTGTGAAGTCTTTTTTTGTTGTTTTGCGGTGTAGTTTGAGGATAGGGTGCTCCTGCAAATGATTACTGCCCAAAATTACAGGGTGAAATCATGTTTATGGGTAGTTTGAGGGTATGGTACACTCAGTCCTTTGCGGGGCTTAAGCAAATGTTTAGCGTTTTTGCACGGAGCTTACGCAAATGAAGGGAGTTGATGTCACTGACAATGTTGTTGTTTTTTCTCCCAGGGGACTTGAGCAAATGTAGGGTTGCTTGGTTGAACAGCTCCAAATACCTGCTTGTTTGAATTGGTATCATGCCAACCCCTGACTAAAAAGGGAGGCATTTAAAGCCAGGTTTGTCAACACATACCCTGGACAAGTGGGTAGTTGGGAGGGGGGTATAGCAAATCCATGCAGATATGGATGTTCCTTGCAAAATTATGCTTCCAGTTTCCTAGCCTCTATTCCAAATACTATGTTTTGTTTTTTGTTTTTTTTGTTCTGTATCGTTGTTGTTTTGTTTTGCATAATAACACAAGAAAGCAGCTTTTCCAGGGTAAATGTCAACGCTTTTAGTGCAGGGTCGACATCACACCCGGAAAGAAGTGGGTATTGGGTGTAGGGGGTGGCATTGAGTTCCCCATGGCCCTGCGTCGGGCTTGCCTACTGCGCAGGTATGACCCTGTGTGGGAGGCGAGATTCCGAGGGAGCTTTTGCAGGGAGAGACGCATTCCCAGTAGAAACAAAACACGGGTCCCAATAGCGCAACAAATTGACTCACTTCTTGAGTTTATGAACTTTAGCCTTTTTGGAAATATCATTTTTTGTGGCAAGCAACAAAGTTTGGGCAGTCTTTAGCCCATCCACTCAGGAAGTGAGACAAATTGATTCTACACGCATGTTCCCGAAAAGGCCAGGGGAATAAAGAGAGAAGATAAACCTACCCCGCTCCAAATGCCCATGATGTAATTTACCACGAAGAACCTGGTTCTGCAAACTACCCTTAAAAGCTGGCATGAGTGGAGGTAGTGGTAAGGAAGGCAAAGGGTTACCTACTACGTAGAATGTTAAAGCACTGGAAGCGCTGGTTTTTCCACAAATCCCTCTACTCCAAAGGTATTTGTTGGAAAAGTTAGTTTTTGAGAAAAGGGTGGACAGGATACCTTAAACCAAGTGGGGTACGAGCTAAGCTAGGCTGACTTGGGCTGCTCGATTTCTGGGCGGGTTTTCACGATCATTGGTGGAATACAGGCTACAGCCCCCGGCTTTGCGAGCTTCGGGGCCAAATTTCAAGAAGCTTCTTTTTGCAGGAAGCTACGAATTCCTGCACCCTCAAACTGCCCATGCAAACGTGCTATTGCTTCGAAATTACGTATGAGGAAAGAACATCTCAACCTGAACAAGTCCCCCCTCCAAAAAAAGAGAAAACACAAGGAAGAAACAAAGGAGCAGCGAGCAAGAAAGAACATCATGGCGGCCGTGAAGTTTTTTCCACCGGCTCCATATTTTTCCGGCACCCCATTTGTGGTACTAGTACCCACGGATGCTCAATACCCGGCAACTGTGGTCCACGGAACCACGGTCTTGCAACTCTTGTTTTGATTTGTTTTTCCCCTTCCCTCCTGTGTGTTCGCGTCTTTCTGAAAAGAAGGCCTGGAAGAAAAGGAGAAACATGGGAGGACTGGGCATGTGTCTCCAAAGGATCCAGGCCAGCTCTGAGAAAACGCTTCAGCAACACTGAAACACACACAGAGACACAATATGTGTATTTATTTCAATCTCCTTGAGGAATCTCCTGTTTGGGACTTCCTCTTTGGGGTTCCATCTCAATTTGCAGGTCTTCCAACTCGAGCATCATTTTTTTCGCTTGATAGTTTGGGGATGTGAACCCCCCCTTCTTGAAACCAAACGAAACCGAAACCAAACCAAACAACCTAGACCCCCAAAGGACCCCTTGTTTTTTGCCTTTGTACCAACCTTTTTTTGGGGTCAAAGGCAGAACAAAAAATGGAATCGGTCCTTTGGGGGTCCAGGAAAACGCCAAGCCAAACGCAACCACCCCAAACCAACCACCAGCCACTTGCTTTGGTTTCGCCTACCGACCCGGCCGCAACCGCTGGGCCCGAAGCTCCCCCCAACAGGGTGGTTGTTGGGTCCAGGTATCCAACTTCAAAATACCACGTGTTTGTTTGTTTTTTCTTTGGTTTTTATCCCGTTTTTTTGTGTTTGATTTTTTTCCTCCGGTTTTTATCCCGTTTTTTTTTAAGGGTCCAGGTTTCCGCGGTGTTCTTTCTCCCTAGCCCTCTCGCTCTCTCTCGCGCAGAGGCAAGCTCCTTAGCAACACAAAGGACAAATTGAATTCAGGCCGCCTGGGACACTGCACCAAGCAGATTCCCATTCGACCGATTTCCCCGTAACCGCCCAATGCCAACGTTGTTCTTTTTGGATGGTGTCGACGCTTTACTCAGGAAGGTGGTATTGACGCTGAAAAACCTATCGGTCTTGCAAACGATGCCAAATACAAAGGCAGGCGGGTATCTGGAGTCAGGGGTGACGAATCGCGACACAAACACGAACAAGGTGTCCCTTTGGTCTACTTGGAGTCTCCATGACTCTCAAAGACTTCCACTGACCCCAAGACCAAACCCCATAAGGAAGACATATGATAGCTGAGCCATATTTAGAGCTGATTTGAGCCTAGTGTACCCTGAATGTGTGGCTTATCCTTAAGAGGTATGTCTCAGGGCTTTGGTGGTACAACCTTTGCATGACCCGTTAACAATGGGGCCACCCCTTTCCTTTGAATAGGTCACCCCTTTGTACCTAGACCCGCACCCATTCAGAAAAGAAACTCAGCACACATTTCGTGGCAATTCCACATTTGATGGGCAGTTTGAGGGTTAAGCTACGAAACCAAGGGTCGGAACGCTGACACCCACATGTTTCAGGGTATGAGTGGGTTTGATGTCAACCTGTGACGAAACAAGGTGGTATTTACAGTGGAAAACCAGGTTTCGCTAGAACTTGAACGCCAACTACTGGGCTCCCTTATCGAACCGGGCACACTCACCAAATGAATCGGGAGCATTGTTCAATCCATCCAAACCAGCACCCGGGTCCCAACTACTGCTTTTCCAACCATGTCAAAAGTCCCAGGTGAGGTAAGGTAACCAAAAAGCAATGGTTGCTATGGACCCGGCTGGGAGGTGGACGCGGAATTGGAGAAGATCAATGCCGAGAAGGGCCTTCAGGCGGTTAAAACTCGTGAAATTATGTCGTGTTTGTTTGTTTTAGGTTGGTGTGCGTTCAATCTCACAACCTGGCAAAGGGTGCCGGAAAAAAAAGGAGACACACCACACACACACACACGTTCCTGTAATTGGTGGTTTTACTTGTCCTCCAGATTAACACGGAACATGACAACTAGGATTTTTAGAGGGATTGCCTTTCTTTGTGCTCTGTATTATTTTGCATGGAAGTACATATCAGCTTTGGGGTACTATTCAAGTTGAGTTTCCTTCCGGTGTGTTTTCAGAGCAATTGTCGAAGGTTCTTTCGGGGAAACCTGCACCCACTCTAGGTCCCCCAGTAGTGCCCTTTTACCCTTTTTGGGGAGAGGGTTCCCCTACTAAACTAGACTACAGATGTCAACCCTGGACTAAAAAGGAGTTATTCACTGTGGAAACCCGATGGGATTGTCCAAAGAAAGCTAACACACAGCGGGTATTTGGAGTGAGGGGTAATCTTGACCCCATATGAATCCACCCCAGTTTATGAATGGGGCGGTCCCTGGGTTTACCGGGTAATCAGACCACTTTTGGAGGGGCCAAAACCACCCCCCTGTTAATAAACTGGGGTCTCCACTAAGCTTCACTTGCTTGCTTTCTGCTCCCTGGCTAAAAGTGTTTGACTTTTGGTGGGTTTAATGGAAAACCCATTGGTTGGCAAGAAGTTAATAAACAGGGAGTTTATGAAGAGGTCTAATCTGTCTGACAGATTCCACGCCAAGGCCTGCGCCTAAGCTCGGCCCTCGAAGCCAACTCCAACACTTCCGATACCCCGAAGCCTCCAAATACCAACGCTTTTTCCAGGTTGTTTTTCTTTTTTGTGGTGGACCGATCGGCTTTCCACGGTAAATACCAAACCGTTTTTTGTAGAGGGCCGACCTCATACCCTAAAAAAAGAGGCCGGGTATGTGGAGGTTACGGGGGTCTTCCGGTTCGACCTGCTTCCTCGAGCTTTCCGCGTGGAGTCCTGCTGGTCCTTGTGAAGTCATCCTGTTTGCCTGAAACATCAACAAAGTACCCCCGTAACCTCCAAATACCCGGCCTTTTTCAGGGTAGGATGTCGGCCCTCTACTAGAACAGGAGGTTTTTAACGAGGTATTTACCATGGAAAACCAGGTTTTCCCAAACATACCCTGAAAAAGCAGGCATTTGGAGTAGGGAGTAAGTGTCTTCGGTGCCACGGCCACTGACCGAGTTCTGAGTTCTGGGTTCTGCACCCTCAAGCTTTCAAGGGGAACCATGTTAGTTGGTGTTGAATTTGAAAAACCCACCGGTTCTCCGTGGCAAGTACCTCCTTAGTCAGGGTTGCCATACCCTGAAAAAGTGGGTATAGAGACCTCATTCCACCTGCTCCTGATACTTTTTTTTTAGGGTAAATAGCTTCTGTTTTAGTCAAGGGTTGACATCATCCCCTGTCATACCTTTTGCAAAAGATATATATATATATATATATATTTATTTATTTATTTTTGAAGGGGGTACAGCCTGCTTGGTTCTCTTCTTAGGTGTGGGTCAAGGGGGGGAAACCCCTAGTCTCACTGTCATGGGCGGTTTGCCAAAGGAAGGCAACTCTCCCTTCATTTTGGGGCATCCCGGAAGCATGTTTCCATGATTTCTTTGGCAACGCTCCGCGTAAATTTGGACCCTACTGCAAATACATATTTGGTTTAGTTGGTATCATGTTAGCCCCTTACTGAAAGAGGTATTCACCATGAAATCCAGATTTTCCAAAAAGTACCAACTGAACCCAGCTTTGGCATTTGGTTTGGACTTTAACTTTTAGTTGACACCCGCACTGTCCGTATTGGGCCCACAAGTATTCAACTTCTTGCAGAGGGGTCTCGCCAGCAACCAAGTAGGTGATCGATCTGGGGATCCGGGGGTCCGTTCTTAGTGAAGGCTTGACATCATATCGTGGATGGACGAAACCCAGAAATCGCACCACTTGATAACCATGGGGAGCCATTGTTTGTTGGTATGAGGGGAATCATCAGACACCAGGCTTTCTTAGGTGCAGGATTTCGTGCATCGTATCCTATCTGCACAAAAAGGTTGGGTTTTGGGTGGTTCGCGAGGTAGGCTCTGCGTATGGGAACCCTGGAAGCACTAAAACGGTCGCCCAAAGAGACTCGACTCCCCAACCATTTTTAGTCATGGCCCCAAAAGTTTGGGTCCATTTAGCTTCGGTCCTTGAACAAATCCTAAATCCTTTTGAAGTGTTGACTTCGTTCTTAGTCTTTGTTCTCTTGTTTGGCTTGTCCTTTTTTATTTGGGGGGGGGTTGGTCCCTTTTGCTCCCCATCTCCGGTGCTCATCTTCTTGGATTCTGGGCCGCGGCCCTCGTCCGCGAAGCGCCCAAAACGCTCGTTTTTGGCGCAGGTGGGGATCCACGTGGACGGCGCCTCCGGGGGCTTCATCGCGCCCTTCCAGGAGCAAACTCCACCGGCGGAGTTGGGCGGAGTGGACGGAGCCCCGTCAAGGCCTGAGACGACATGTCGTACTTGGAGGAAGATGCTCTTAGGTCCATGCAATACAGGGGAGTTCAGGGGCGTAATGTTAACCAGGGAGTAGAAAGCCCATGGTGGATTCATAGGGGGGTGTCCGTTTTTGGTGGGGATTCGTCACTTTTGGAGGGGTTCAAACATCCATCACTGGACACATGGCTGTGGTTCAAAACCAATGGGATCCCATTTCGGGGTTTTCGGTGAACTCACCACCCATTTTAGGCTTCCTATTTTAGTGGTTGGATTGAATCGGATGTTCACTAGGGGTACGATTTCAGGTTTGACCCATGGCCAGATGTCGCAATTGGAGGGTAGGTTACCAACAACTTACCTTGACTGCTATTGGGCAACGGATCCTTTGGCGAGTTTTTTTGGTTGTGACCTGAAAGAACTAGCCTTGGGCTTGACTGCTATTGGGTTCAACGGATCGTTTTTTCTTTCGACTTTCACTTTTTGGGAAAGGACATCAAGGTGGGTTTTGCCGAACGAACCCCCCCAAGAAGCGAATCTCACTTTTTGCAGGGGGGTCAACAGCAGCAAAGAGTTGGGCGGAGATTTTGGGTGCGACACCAGCGGCCACCCCCAACACCCCCCACTCCTTCAGCCGAGGCGCGGAACAGCCCTTGTCTTGCCCTTGACTCTCTCACTTTGTCTGTTGGTTTAAAGGGGATTTATCACTACTGGAAATATTGGCTCGTTTTGTCCCACCCATTTGCCGGGAAGCTGCAAATACCAGCCAAGACCCACACGTTTTTGCACGTCGAGCTTCCAAAAAGGAGGCAACGACCTACAAGATATCATGTCGACACCAAAAGGCGGCAAATCAAAGATTCCCGAATCGAAATACCCGCTGGTTTCAGGCTAAGGGGAAGGCAGGATGGGGAACCCTGACGAAAAAAGGGATCGGTGTGTACCTTGAGGTAAACATGGTTCTCCACAAAATACTCTGAAAAAGCGGGTTGGGGCGAAAGCTCCAAACCCCCTGTGTTTTCCAGGGTGAATACATCCGTTTGACGATATTTGGAGTTGGGGGACAGTTGGACTAGACCTAGATGGGTTCCACTAGTTTAGATTTGTCTTATTCCACTTACCAGGGCCATTTGCTTTTTTCCAAAAGGGCACTTGTTCCCGCTGCACAGGGGAACAAAACTTCTTTTTTCAAAGCAAATACTGCCTTTTTTGGCAAAGGGTTTACATGATGCCCTGTACCGTAAGGCTCATGCCCCCTCCAATGCAAGCCCACCAGCCCTCCAATGAACAACCGGGACCAATTCCTCAGGCCCTCGAAGACAAGCCAATCTGAGGGCCCACATACAGTCGAAAGCCTTAGCTAGGTCCCCCAGTAGTAGTTGCCCTTTTACCCTTTTTTGGGGGAGGGTTCCCCTACTGAAATTGACAAAACTGAAAAAACATGGTACCCTTTTTCTAACCTCTCTACTGGACCTAGTTGAACAGGCGCCCGGCCCAAAAAGGCGCGCAGAAGACGAGCAGATCTGACCCAAGATTGCAGGGGAAGCCGGAGATCCTGTCTTGTGATGCCAGTGGGCTGCCTGCGCGTTTTTTCCCTTGCAGCCGTGCTGGTTTGCAGACCCCAGTAAGCTCCAAATACGTTCTTGGAGAACGCAAAAAAAACACAGCTCAAGCTCAGCAAACCAGGGTCTATGGTGGGGGGGGGTACCATATATATATATATATGTATATGGTCACTCCCCCGCCATATAAGTGCAGTAAAGGTGTGGTGTAACTGATCTTGCCAGTGTCCAAAAAGACACTCTTTGGGATGAATCTGTCATTGAGATCATTTCCCAGGCAATCAGAAATGCTCGGGCAAGGTGGGCCCAAGTACGTCGATGTACCTACCTATGTAACTATGAGATGCTGGTTCTCCAGGGTAAAATTTCCTCCTTTTTCAGTCCTCAATACCAAATCGCTGTGTTTGGTATGATCTGTGGAACACATTTGGGGGGCGGGTGCGTTGCGAATCGCAGGAGGGTCTGCCTCCCTGGGACTTCCGCCTGAAGAACGTCCTGCCTGAAGCTCGGCGGACCATCAGGTCGGCTTCGTCTGAGAGACGAAGTGGCTGCGGTGGGCCATGGCCGGGTCAGACTCCAATTTGGTGTGCCCCGCAATCTGCAGGAAGGGGTCCTTTTCTTGTGAACAAGCTAACTTTAGGCATAAATCACCTTGGTTATTTCAAGGAGTGTTCCAAGTGGTTTCATTTCCGGTGCTCAGAGACGTAGAACCTCCCAAAACCCGGCCTTCTCTCCCTTCACTAAAAAAGGATGTATTTACCAATGGAAACCCAAACATGGCCTGAAAAAGGCAGGTAGTTGGAGGTTACGGGGGTAGGGAACCGGTTTTTGGGGATTCCCCTGGCAAGCAAATCTGGTGGTTAAGGTTTTTCGCGGGGTGATTTCTGCCTATCGAACCAGCAAGCCTTGAACATGTTCCATGGCCCAAGGGCTCCGAGAGAATCGTGCAGGATGCTGGCCGATGGTTGCTCAAGCGTAGACTGGACGCCGAATGATTTGCCATGACATTTGTCTTCCAGAAGCCTCCGTCCTGCAAAGAGTATTTGTGGCGTCCAGCCGAACAGTTGCGATTGGACAGAGAATTGGAAGAGAAGCTCATAAGTCACCAGGACTCCTGGCTAGAGGACTGTTTGCAACATTTAGTTGGCACGCTTTCTTGGAAATGCTCGTCCTGGCCTACCATCGCCGCCAATGTCGATAAAAATCAGGCCTATTTCGTCCGAGGTTTCCAGGATGCGATTGCTTCAGAGATCAGCGAGGTTCGTTTGTTTGTCCTTACGGGCAAGCTGATCCCTCGAGGGAGAGAACCACGCACCTTGGTATCGTTGATCTTTACTTTCAAGCTGTATTTCTATCTAAATGTAGTGGATAAGAAATTATATTGCTGTCTTGCACATCTTAACTTTCCAACTGAAAAGTGGTGGACAACAAATTTCCCCAAGGCTCCCAATTGTGTTTGGGCCCTCCAATTGTTTTCTTTTCAAGGGCCCGTGAAAACTTGGTCCGGGTTTTTCATTGGAGGGTCCGGCCTCCATTGGAGGAGTCATGAGCCTTGGCAGTATTGGCATTGGTCACGTTTTCCCCCGCGGTTGCCCAGAGGTGGCCTTTGTTCAACATTATTTTGGGAAGGGTGTCCCTTTAGAGTCAACCAACCAAACAGGGATGCCTTTAGCTCTTTACGTAATTGTTTTCTTAAGTTGATTTACTCCATCCGGGTCCTTAGCTTTTTCGTTGCCTAAAAAAAACAAGAAGTTGGTTTGCTAAGTTGGGTTGCTGGTGGCTCCCAGCCATCCGGTTCCTTAGCTTTTCAGAGTTTTGCTTATTCAAAGTTGCAGTATTTTTTCCATTTCGCCCGAACGTGTTCAACTTGCAGCCGGGGATCAGAAAATTCGAGCAATTTGAGCCCTACCCAGGTCACCATGAACCACGAAAGACCATGGAGAACCTGGGGTTTTCCAAAAAGACCCGGAAAAAGACGGATTAGACACCCCGGGAATTGGTGCTTGGGACCCGGTCTCAAAACCAGGTTGTTTGAACGCCCCAAATCCATCGAATTGGAGCCTCTGGGCAGGGGGGGACGTTCACAGTTGGCTAAAGATGAAAACGAAATCCAGAAACCGCACCTAAGAGACTTTGGAATGATGCGATTCCCCCGTCCAATGAACCAGGATTTCCCATGCCCCCGTAACCTCCAAATACCCGCTTTTTTCAAGGTATGATGTCGACCCTCTACTAAAAAAGGAGGTATTTGCCGTGGAAAAGCAAGTTTCCGCACACAAAAAAGTACCCTGAAAAGAGCGGGTATTTGGAGTAGGGGGTGATTTCCAAGTGGTGCTATTTCTGGATTTCGCAAATCCACAGAAGAGCCGAGGCACTGGCATTTGGAGTTGGCTTCCGGACATGGCTGACCGAGTCGAGGCTTACCTGGATCATCGGGGCTTCAGATTCTCGGAGCGAATTGATCGCATCTGACCTTTTCTTCCAGAATGTTTATTATTATGATCATATTACCTGGACCTTCGTTTGGCATGCTTTTGTTCTGTTCCCACCCCCAAACGGATGCGTTTCAGCAAAACGGCAATTTTTGAGGAAACGCGCGCTTTTCTGGAAACTAGCGTTTTCTTGGAACCTTGCGCACAGTGGTGTGAAACAGCAAGATTGCGGCCAAACAATTAGGCCGCACAACGGGCGCAATTCCGCGCACAAGGACGCAATTTCGCGCAAACGGGCGCAATTGCAAGAAACGTACTTTTTAGCGGTCCCCCTTTTTTTCGAAGTTGATGAAAGCGATCACTTTTTGAGCAAACGGCATGGTTTTCACGAAAACGGACGGATTTATTTCCGAGCTGAAAAAAACGTGCAGTTGGAAGATCCAGGTATTATTCGTAGTAGTATTAGCATTATTTTCCCCTGTTGGTCGTAGTTGGAACCTGTTGGTTGTAAATGGGGGGCTCAAGCAATGGACCCTTTTGGTTTCCCCAGATTAAGATGTACTTGCTTTCTCACTTCCTGAGTTCATGGACTTGACTTACTTGTTGGTGTTTGGGCCATAGTGGCAAATACAAAGTTCAGACTTTTTGGTTGGCCAGTTCCCTCATGAATTGAGCTTTACCGAGAATGTTTTCAGATCACTGCAAGCTTGTTCAGACGTACCTTTTTGGGAATGCCATCAGCAGCTGGAAATTAGACCACTCTTTGTACAGAGATGGTTTCCCCTGTTTGGCAACCATACTGTGGATTGACGACGAAGTCCATTTCGCATCACCTAGGAAGCCCTGGAATCCCCACCAACGTTTTCCACCCTAGTTTCCCTTCAAGTGGTGCGAGAAGCGGATTTCGCACGAGCCGCCGCAGTTCGTGACCCCTTTTTAAGATCTTGAACAAAATCGGGTCCGGACAGGGCAACTGAGGTGCAGTCACCACTCGTTGTACAGAGATGGTTTCCCAGTCTGGCAGCCACAAGTTTGTGGCCACTTTTCGGTGATCAGCTTTTTCCGCAGCTGAACTTTGGTGCATTCTGCCAAGGGATGTTAGCACCAACAAACACTTTTTGCCTATGGGTTTTAGTCGAATTCGACCACTAAAAGTGAAGAACTTTCAGCGCTTCGCAGATTTTTCGCCGAGCTGTCAAGCTCTGGGGCTCGGAGGCTCCGTGGCTTTGGGCTTTGCAGCTTGGGGGAACTGCGAGAGCTGACTGGGTGCCCCAGCGATCGGTGCCCGACCTCTCACCCACTTTTTTGGTTGGGAGATTCGGTTCCCCTACTAAAATAGACTACAAAGGAAAAGCTGGTACCAACTTGTTCTATCCTCTCAAATCTGATAGGGTATCATGTCGACCCTCTACTAAAAAAGGTTAGGTATTTACTTACCATGGAAAACCTTTTTTCGGTTGTCGGAAAAAAAGCGGGTAGTTGGAGTTTGTGGGGTTGAACCAGCTGAGGATTCGGAGCGGTCACCACGGTGAACGCGGGCGGCGCCTTGGGCCAGATCCCAGAGCTGCCCTCGCTGCAGGAGCTCGGCATGCAGGAGGCCTTCACTCGGATCGGCGAAGAAGAGGAAGCCTCACAGGAGAGTTATGCGACTTTGCCATTTTGTTCCTGGCAAGAGTTTGTTTGTGTTTTTTTTGTTCTGTTCTTTTGTGACTTCACGAGTTTCTTTCTTGGCAAGAGTTTGTTTGTGTTTTTTGTTGCCTTCTTCTGTTCTTTTGTGGGGAGGGGGCTGAAAAAAACACAGTTTGTTGCAAGCTCAGTGTTCTGAAGGTGATCAAGCTAAGTCACTACTACGGAATTACGAAGTACAAAGCCCCGCGTGGTTTTGCTTGGGACAGCGAGATGGTTCAACTAAAGCTCCGCGTGGCGCCAAAGGCTGTGCTGGCCTTGCAAATCGCTGCTGATGAGCCGAGTGAAGGCCATGTGATGCTTTCGGCCACGACTCTCTCGGGGGAGACCGTCGCGTCACTACGACTGAGCTTGGACGCCGAGGTGGCGGAGCTCGTGCACGCCTTGGCGCAACGCTCGGGCACGCCGGAGCGGCAGCTGCGCCTCGTCTTTGCTTCTGGGGCCCTGGTGGACGCAAGTTCTGGAAGCAGAAAGCTGGCCACTCTGCTAGGTGAGAAGTCTGAGGCCAACCAGTGAGAGCGGAGGCAAAATCTTTCTCAGAATTAGCTTCCCTTTTTGTGTTGTTTTTTTGCTTTTTGGGGGTCCCGTTGTTTTTTCCACTAGCCAGGCAAAAAACGATAGTTTTTTTGCCGGGGTCCCTTTTTCCAGCCTAGAAATGATGCGACCACAGATTGAAGACAGGCTGCAAGGACTTCAAGCAAGTGATTTGGTGCCTTTTCAGACTTTCTTATAGGAAAATGCCTGCTTTGTCGGTGTGGCTCAAAATTAAACGATCGGAGGGGCAAACCGCAGGTTTTGGTACCCATTCCACTTACCAGGGTTGCATTTTGGGGTTGCCCGGTTTTTTGAGCCACGGCCATATTCCTTCAAAAGAAATGATTTCCCATGCCGCATAGAGTCAATTGATTTTGACAACGCCGAAAGTCATTTTGGGTTGGCCAAATCCTTGTTCCAACTCGATTTGCCAACCAACTGCCCTCTTTTCTTAGCGCCAAACCTTATGTCCCCCGCCCAAACCATAGGTTTTGACTACCTTCTTGGACAAAAAGCTGGTCTTCCTCTAAAGGAAAGGGTTTCCTCTTGGAGTGCCCGAGCCTTATGTCTCCCCCCAAAAAAAAAGAAAAGAGAATACCAAAACCATGGCGGGCAGAAGGACCACTCTGGGTGCCAAGACCGTCGCGCGAACTTGACGCGGCATGATTCTAGCGTTTCATTCCAACCATTTAGCTCAAAAATCCGGTACCCAAAATGGACCCCTGGTAAGTGGAAACATTGACCAAAACCTGCGTAACCCCTCCTGATTAATTTTGAGCCACACCCATTTGTGTCACGCATCGTTCTTTTTTGGAGCTGTCTTTGCCTCTTTGTTGAGCGACCGATTCGCAATCCGTTTGCATGTTTCTCGCTCTTGTCAAAACCGGATCCGTTTTCCCTGTCTTGAGGTTTTTTTTGGAAAGACCCTGGAGAGAAGGGGGAGGGTACCCCTAGAAGTATGTGCTTGAACGAGCTACTAAACTCTAGTGGCAGATTGAACCAGAAGACAAACGCAGACTTACCTCTTAAAAACACAACTTTTCAACTTTCTGGGTAACATGGGCTATATGTCTGTAAAAGATGAGAACTTCCCCAGGTTGCTTGGAGTTTTAAGGGGTAAGCAGAGGAATCCCCTGTTAAAAGGGGCCCTCTTCGCGGGGCTCGAAGAGAAGCTCCTGAGCTCCGGTTCAGACTTTCGTCAAACTTTTCGGGTTCGGAGCATGTGGGCTCAATGACCAGTTCCAGGACTTTGTTTGGCCCATCCACTCGAAGGGAAGCGAGCCAGCGCTTTTTTCAGTGGCGATTTGTGGTTGGAAAAGCCCGAAAACGGTTTTATACGGATACCGATCCCTTCGATTCCTTGAACTGGAAAGGGCTCACATGATACCCTAAGCAAGTTGGTCTTTGGGGTAGGGGGTATCGGATGTATACCATTTGAAATCACCTTTCGGTTGGACATGTTCCATACCAAGTTGGAAGCCGCTAAGCGACAAACTCATGCCCTCGACTCCAAATCCATGGCAAGTTCCGTTCCCTTTTGTTGGTCAAGGGTTCACCCACCCTATCATAGGCTGTGTGGAACATGTTCCAGATCGTCATGGGAATGCGATTCCACAGCGAAAGCCCTCCCTGGTTGCCCGGTCAAACGTACCGATTCTCGAACGCCCCAAATGGTTTTGTAGGCTCCTCGATTTTGAGACGAACCCAAATGCCAACCAGCGGGTTTCCTGAACATGTCATGGCACTCCTGTAAAATGTGGATATGTACGGTGTGATTTGCTTGACTAGAAGCGATATCTTTTTGCATCCATGTTGGTTGCGCGACTAAAGAGTGGAAAGTTGGTGAACAGTTTCCCTTGGTTTCCCTTTGCTCCTGGCTAATTGTTTGCCCCCCCCCCCCCGCCCACCTCCCCGGTGTATTTGTTTTGGACAAGCGGGTTTTCCGCGCCACATACCGACGGGTGCAAGCAATCCTGCAAACACATCACCTTGTGTTGCGCTTAGCGTTGGGCTCTCCCTCGCAGGTAGCTTCTAAGCGTTTTTGTATTACACCCTGGGAACACACCCACTGGGTATTGGCCCCATTTAGGCACATTTCCGGATAAAACCGTGCCAATTTGAACCATTCTGGGTCATTTCCCAAGGGTGTAATCCCAGGGTGTAATACAAAAACCCTCAGATAGCTCGGCTCCGGCGGCCATGGAAGTGAATGTGCACCTACCAAGTGGAAGGAGCTGCTCCGTCGTGCTGTCGCCGGAGTCTACCGTCCACGAGCTGAAGATGGAGGCCCAGCGGCGGCTCAAGCGCCGCTTTCTGAGGCTTGCTTTCCAAGGCCAGGCACTAGAGCTGGCGAGATGGGGACGGCATTGATGCCATCGTGCAGCCTGTCAAACTTGCTTCTACGGGTAGAGCCTTTGCTTTTTATGTCATGGGAGGTGATGTCGTGGTTTGGGGTGACCCTGACTATGGCGGTGGCAGCCGCCGAGTGCGAGAGCAGTTGGTGCAGGTCCATCAGATCCAAACTAGCCAGCGTGATCCTCGATGACGGCTCTGGTGACCTGGGGCGAACCGGACAAGGGCGGCGACAGCAGCCAGGTGCAAGAGCAGTTTTTGGGGGTTCGGCCGATCCAAGCAAGCCAGGGTGCTTTTGCTGCCATCCTGCACAACGCACAACGGCTCTGTAGTGACTTGGGGCGATGCTAGATTTGGCAGTAACAGCGGCGAGGCACGAGAGCTGGTCCATGTTCAGCAGATCCAAGCAACTAAAGAGGCATTTGCTGCCATCCTAGCTGACGGCTCTGTGCTGACTTGGGGCTGTCCTGCCAATGGCGGTAACAGCAGCCAGGTGCGAGAGCAGCTGATCCATGTTCAGCAGATCCAAGCAACTGAATGTGCTTTTGCTGCCATTCTGAACGACAGGTCTGTGGTGACTTGGGGGTGTCCCGAGCATGGCGGTTATGGCAGACATGTGCGAGAGCAGCTGGTTGGTTTCCGGCAGATCCAAGCAACTCGGGTAGCTTTTGCTGCCATCCTGGATGACGGCTCGGTGCTGGTGACTTGGGGCTGTCCTTTCTCCGGCGGTGACAACCGCCGAATGCGAGAGCAGTTGGTGCAGGTCCAGCAGATCCAAACAATCCAGCGTGCTTTTGCGCCATCCTGGATGACGGCTCTGTTGTGACCTGGGGCGATCCGGACAAGGGCGGTGATAGCAGCCAGGTGCGAGAGCAGTTGGTGCAGGTCCAGCAGATCCAGGAGACAAGAGAGGCCTTTGCTGCATTCCTGGAGGACGGGTTTGTCGTGACTTGGAGCGCTCTCGGCCAGATTGAATCTCGGCTCGACTGGTTGTGAGACGTTTGGTAAAAAACAAAAAAAACACCTCCCTTGGGCTGCTGGAGGCGTGACGCGCTTGGTCGCGCTACAGATGTCGTCAAGTGCGTCTCTGTTTCGGTCGTCGAAACTTACCCTAAGCCAATGTTGAGTGAGTTTGCCTTTGCCAAAACACTCTGGAGGGGACAGGTGTGCCAGTGCCATGATCAAAAGCCTCGTTTAGTTTGGGTTAACAGGCGTCTACCTAGTAGTAAGGATCCTGAATATCTATGAAAAATGATTCCTGTTCTGGGAGCCTTCACCATACCCCCCCATTACTCCCTTACTCCCTTTCTTTTGCACATACCTTCTTTTTTAGTAGAGGGTTGACATGATACCAAAAACATCGGGTATTGTGTATGGGGGTAGCAGATGATGTTTTCCACGCAGACATGAAAACGTGCGCGCCAAAAAAAGCACGTCTTTGCGACTTAATACCTCAGCCTAGATCTCTTTTTGGCCGGCAGACCCGACCATAACTTGCGGCTGTGGGTTATGAGTTGTGCCAGGACACAGGAAACTCGCCCAACCTACCTTTCAAACCCAGACCCGGGCGGATGATCCGGTAAGGGAGTAGCCCCTCGCCATGTCCTGTAGGTTCTGGGATTACGACCATTTTAGTACCGATCGCTTTTGATTGAGCGATAAGATTCCCTTTTATACCCTCAAATGGAAGTTTTTGTCCATGTTTCCATTTACCAGGGTTCCATTTGGGGTACCTATTTTTGACCCACAGCCAAATGACCCTTAAAGAGGCAAACCACCCAGGCTAGGGCAAAACTTTCTTGGGAAGTTCTTTCACGGGCTAGCTTTGGGCTTTGCCGACCGGCCCCGGAAAAAAGTGGCGATCGAGTTGCAGACCCTACGGAACATACCCTCCACTTTTCTTGGCAGTTCCCAGCGAATCGTCCGGTTCCTGAGGTTTTTCTCGGGTTTTTTGGTTGAAAAACGGGGTTGTTCATATTTAACCCGCGAACAGTTGAGCTTTTAGCAGGAGATCTGCAGACAGCCAATTTTTGTGTCCAGTTTATGTGTATTGGAAAGCCGATGATCGGGTTTCCAGGTTTTCTGCCAATGCCTGTTTTAGGCCTGGGGTTTGCCGACTCATTCTCCCATTGTGGCTATTGGGTGGTTGCGGGCTATGATGCCGCACCCTAAAGTGATGGATGTTTAAAGCATACCAACTGAACATGGCTGGGACCCGGTCTCAAGACCAGGTTGTAAGGCCCTAAATCAATCGGGCCTCATCCCAGAGGATTGGAGGACTGGAGAAATCGACATGCACATGGCTGCTTTGTGGTATGGCTGAAGCATCAACGCGCGGCTGAGAACGAGTGAACCGAATGGAATCGGGATCAAGCCCGTTGTTGGAAAGGTGCAGCACATGCAAGTTCCGAGTTTAGTTCGTGTTGCATGACATCAGGGGGAATACCGAGGGCAGATTTGAATCAATTGGTACGGACCAATTCCGGGTGTTTGTAGTTCAGGGCGATTATTCCAAATGCCCGCGTTTGTTTCAGTCGGTATGACGTTGACCCTGTAAACAAGGAAAGGTTTGCCCAAAAATACCACCCAAACAAACGCGTTGGTATTGGGAGGTACCGGGGGCTAGAAGAAAGAACGAAGACCATTTTGGGGGGATCGAGACTCACTCAGAGGTCGATCTCCTCGAGCGGCCACAAGTTCGGGAACTCCTGCTGTGGCACAGGCGAGTCGCGAGTCGCGAGCCATCTCCTTTTGGGGGACTTCCTGAAACCCATACAGAACCGTACACCCGTACTTAAAAGCAGAACAGAGCCATTTAATCCGTACACCTAGAGAGCCAAGTTGCGATCGCTTTTTTCAGTCGCTGTTGCGATCGGTTTTTAGGATAAAAGTTCATGGAAGAGAGCGATCGCAACTGGCGCTCCGGGCATGTTTTTTGTGCAAGCCAGGCGTCTCCCCTGGAAAAATCTGGGTTAATTCTCGGCGCTCGGGTTCCAGGTTTGGGGATCGGAACCAACCCGCTGGAGATGGGCTACCAGGTACTCCCAACGCTCCAAAGACCCAAAATTTTTACCAGTGGCCTAGAGGGTCCCTTGGTACCTAAGGAGGTACCAAAAGAACCCTTACCCCATCCTTAGGTACTTGGAATCTTTGGGTGGGGTTCCAGTGGCTGGACAAAAGTGGCTACTTGGGGTTCCAGGTGTGTCTTAGGAAACCGATCGGTGTTCCAGTTTTTCGTGCATAGCCATTTGTTCGTAGAGGGTCGCCACCAACTGACCAACAGCTGGGGTACTTGGGGGTGCCTTCCGCGGTTTTGCCATGGCATGGTTTCCCCTTTGTTCAACTGGAAGCCCCTGGGGAAGGAGTCGAGAACCCCCGACTGGAACGCCTCAAAAAGCAGCGAGCCGCCCAAGCGGGAGGCCATGGATTCAGGCTGAAACGAAGATGGGCCTGCCTGCGTTCTAGCAAGCTCACCTGGGGGAACGAGCCAAGGTGCTGTGCTTGGGGCGCTTGGGGATCCTGACAAATTCCGCTTTTGGCGGTTGTAAAATGTGCAGATGGTGTATGTTCTTCTGTTTTCAAGGTGATCGATTTCACTACGGGAACTGTGTTCAATCATTTTGTGCACGCGACGTGTTCAGCGCAAGTGGATGAAGACTCTTGGTTTTTTGGCCGCATGACTAAGGAACCCTTAGGGAATCCTAGGTGTCGAAAATGTCCTGCAAAGAGCGAGGATTCGGAGTATACGGGTAAAATCATGTTGGGAATATGGAGGTTATGTTGCTTAAACGCCGAATTGCCACTAGAAGAACTCCGATGAGAGTTGGGGCGAAGACTGGCTCACACAAACAAACCTTTGGCGCTTCCCAGGCAAGCCGTAGTGTGGCTGGATGAAATCCTGCCCTCAGAAGCTCTGGAATGATGATTCCCCCTGTAAACAGCATCATTTTTTTTTTTTATGGTTTCCAAGTGGTGCGATGTCTGGATGTCGCCCACTCTATGAATTTACTAAACCACCAAAGGTCACACTTTGAGCAGGGGATGAGTTTGGGTCCTGGGCCCTTTGGCGCGAATTTTGCCAAGGGATGTTGAGACTTTGAATTTTAACTTTTGGCCAACTACCTGGACCCCCAAAGGACCCCAATTTTGTTTCTGCCTTTGACCCAAAAAAAGGGGTACAAAGGCAGAAAAAAGGGGTCCTTTGGGGGTCCAGGTAATGGGTTTTCCGAATTAAACCGCCAAAAGTTAAACTTTTAGCAGGGGAGCAGATTTCGCAACCTAGGGCCCCGTGGTTGGTTCTCGGGCGCCAGGCTGGGTGGTCTGGCGGCAGCGCAAGGATTTGTCGGACCAGGTGGCCATCAACGTGTCGTACCTCGGAGGCAGCCACTTGGCCGAAGATGCCGCGACATCCGCGACGCTTCCAAAGACCAGCCGCTGGTGAACAAGGAAACACCTGGTTTCCAAGGGTTGATTCCCCATTCTTTCCAACCATCGTTGTTTTCGAAAGCCGGATCCGTTTCCCTGGGTTTCCGGAGGTTTTCTAGAAAGAAGGATCCCTGGAAAGAATGGGGAAGGTAGCACTCGATGGTTGGTAACTTCTCGGGTTTTGCCAAAGTATCCGATCTAAAAGCTGGTTTTCGCGAGGAATGGGGTGCAAGAAGTGGATCGAGTTATATTCCGCACTCCGAATGAGTACATGTTGCAGGGTATGATGTGAACGCTTTGCTACAAAAAAGGTATACCTTCCATGGGAAACCGGAAATTCAGCTCAAAAAGGAGGTATATTTTCCATCAAAGGCATATGTTCCATTGCAAACCAGACATTCAGAAACACCAAAAAACGCTTAAACCAGTGGGCAAAACCCGGTTGTTTTGAGGCGCGGCCGCCTCGCCTTTCGCCTGTCGAGCCACGGTGCAAATCCTTCCAACTGTTTTCTGGAGGGCCAGGCAGCCTGTATGGACCTTCTCCAAATACCAGCGCCCTGTTTAGTTGTTCTTGGAAAGAGCGATTGTTTTTTGTTTTTGTTCTTTTTCTTTTTCTCAAGGTAAATACCTTTTGGCAAAGGGTTGACACGATACCCTCAAACAGTGGGTATTTGGAGTGGACTTTGAACTTCGGGTTTTGGACTAGTTTGGTGGCAACCAGTTTGGATCGGTTTTTGGCCAACCCACTCGATCGCAAGTGAGGAAACCAAGCCAGAGGTGCATTTTGCTTGGCTGTTAGGGGGTTTTGCAAATTAAGCCACTAAAAGTGAAAGCACTTATAGCAGGGGAGCAGAAAGCAAGCGACCGGCAAAACCATCCGAGCCGGTTCAGTGGAAATCCGGGACTTGCTCGGAGAGAGACTCGAGTAAAACAAAGCCGTGGAATTGGGAAAAGGCTCGTCAGGAGGGGATCGCAGGTTCTATTCTTTGGCAACCCATTTACCAGGGCAACCCATTGGGGGTACGCAGTTTTGACCCACAGCCAGCCATATATAGCAGATGAAAGCCTACTGAAACGACTAGATTATATCAGCGAATCAAGCTGTTCACCTTTCGGGGATGCGTGCCCCCGGTAGCCTCCAAATATATTTCCGACTGTTTTCAGTCGGTATTCTTGGTTGAAAACCGATAGGTTTCTTTTGGGGGCCTGTGTTTGAGCTCAACCCTGCAAACATGTCCCCGTAACCTCCAAATATCCCAGTGCAGTGGTGGAAATATTGAGTGAGCTGGCAAATAAGTAATTTATCAGGGTGGAAGTTTCTGCTGTCATATGTTTTCCTAAGTTTTCCCTAACTGCCACTTCTCCATGAACAAACTGTCACTTCCAATGAACATGGATTTTGACCGATTGTGATCAGTATCCCTCGCTGCGCCCATAAGGTGCGGGAAAAAAAAAAAAACAAGTCAGAACAATATTACATTCAGTGGAATTTTCAACATGGGCGCGGATTGTCAGTCGTTGGAAGCCTCGTTCAGGCGGACTTGGCGTTGGCCCTCGGTCAATGTTGAATCATGCTGTTGGAACCCCATCTAGACGGTTTTTCAGGACGCGGAAGTGCGGCGAGTTTTCCTAAGCTAAGGCAACCAAAGCTCAGTTTCGGAAAGAAAGCCGAAGGTTTCCCAAATTGAGATCAACTGAAAACAGGTGAGCGGGATATTTGGAGCTTTCGGGATATTTGGGCTTGGCCGACCTTTTCGCATGACCTGTCCCCCCTACTCCAACCACGTCGTGCATTTTCAGGGTATTATTGGGAAAACCTGGTTTCCATGGTTCCCAGCCAAAAGCGGGTTTCTGGAGTAGAGGGTTAGTTTCTCGACACGACCGCTTTCGTTGATCTTGAAAGGCAGGACCGGCTTGGAACTTGTAACCTCCGCAGAACTGGGCTCGTTTGGCTGACTCCGTCCGAGCCCGCAAACAAACAAAAAATGCGAGCGAGCTGGTTGCGGGCTGGTTCCTGGCAAAACCCGCAACTCACTTCCTGGGAGATGGGCCTTATACTTTTGGGACCCCCAAAGGACCCCAATTTGTTTCTGCCAAAGGACCCCAAAAAAAGGTACAAAGGCAGACACAAATTGGGGTCCTTTGGGGGTCCATGTACTTTTGGGAGACCAAATTTTCGTGGTCAACGGCCAGCTCTGCTTTTTTACTTCCAACCCACTCAGGAAGTGAGCCGAAGAAGGTCCCCGAAACCAACTCAAGACAGCGGCGCGAAGCGCTCCTCATGTGTCGTGTGCGGCCTTCGAGGGCCGATTTCCTGTTGGTCTTTGTGGTCTTCGTATCGATGAGAGGTCCTCAGACGGATTTAAATATGTGTGTTTTTGCTGGGTTTGGGGAATCATCGCTTTCGGAGGAACACCCCCAATAAACCGGGGTTGATTTGGATGGGGTCAACATTACTCCAAATACCCGGTGCTTTATGGCATGTGCAGAAACACGTGGCATGGTTTTCATGGTAAATACCTCCTGTACCAAATGGAAGATACCCTAAAAGAGAACTTCCAGTTACCACTATAGTAGGTTGGTCTAGATAGTATACCACATGCGTGGGGGGCGCCACAAGATTCCGACGGCAAAAGTGGACAGGCTTGTCCTTGAGGAACATCATGCCATAACCCCCTACTCCAAATACCCACGTGTTTTAGGGCATGATGGCAACCCTTTACTAAAAAGCGAGGTGTCTACTTCACGGCTGTTGGCACGCTTCTTGGTTTTTACAGGCTGTTTGGCTCTTTGCATGTTTGATTTTTGGGGGGCGCAAAACGCGTTCATTTGTTGCAAGCCCTTAAGGGTTGTAGGTCTTTACCATTCGGGCGATTTCTCAGGTGCGGACTCCTACACCCTGAACTTCTCCCGCCCCGCGCAGGATCGAAGGGGGAGAGAGACATCGGCCGAGGTCTCGAAGGGGAGTTCATTCGGACCAGGCGATTGGTATGGGTACCTGGACCCCCAAAGGACCCCATTTTTTTCTGGGAGATGGGCCTTGTACTTTTGGGACCCCCAAAGGACCCCCCAATTTTTTGTTCTGCCAAAGGACCCCCAAAAAAGGGGTACAAAGGCAGAAAAACGGGGTCCTTAGGGGGTCCAGGTAGCTTCACAAGCCTGAAACATGTCAGCGGAAGATTTCGCAGGGGGGATTTTGGGTTTGAGGGGGGCCGAGCTTGGTCGAAGAAGCTTTTTTTTTTGTGTGTGTGTGTGTTTTTTCTTGTACAGGCTTTTTCTGGCCGGAACCCCCCCTGATGTTTGAGACAGATCCTGAAATTTGTGGGTGTTTGACTTACAAGGTTCTTGTGGAAAAGCAGGACCATGCAGGACCAGAACCAGGAACCAGTGAGAAGAAGCCTCATGCCACAAGTACCTCCAGATGCGACCTTTGGTGTATGTTCTGGAGAACCGATCGGTTTTCCACAGTACTCTTTAAAAAAAAAGAGAGGTACTCATTTACCAAGTGGTCAATCTGTCAAATTGCTTCCATTTGCTTTTTGTCCCTGGACAAAAGTTAAATAATAGTAGAATCGATTATCTTTAAAACCACCAGGGCAGAATAACAATGTTTGTTTCAGCAGATGGAAGTTCGGAGACAGTTTCCCATGTCACACAGGCAATGCGAGAAAATGGACCTGGATGTTCGTGCAAACTGCTTGCTACTAGCCCCTTACTCCAAATTCTTCCTGGAGTCAGGTATCAACCCTTGACCGCAAAAGAAGGCACTTACCCAGAGGCTTCAGATTGATTTAGGGCCTTGAAACAACCTGGTTTTGAGACCCCCAACCACCTCCGGGGTGTCTAATGGAGGGGTCGGGTCTTCCATTGAACTGGGCTGCTCAAAACAAAGCCATTCCCGCAAGAGAGGGTATTTGGAGCTTTGGCGGAGGGCATCACTAGTTGCTGCCGTGCGCTTTGCAACCCAAAACGCGGTCCCCCAAAAGAAGATTCCTCTACAAATGACGGGTTTCTGGGTTCCATGTTGATCTGGGAGTCCTGCTCCAAGTATCATGTTTTGTAGGGGGCATTATGCCAATTTCAGACAAACAAGTCAGGTATTCAATGTGGTTTCAACCAGTTTGTGCTTGTCTCTTTTGCTTTCAGAACATGCCTCCTAGATAGCCAAGTTGCCAGTCACTGTTGCGATCGGTTTTTGGGGACAAGTGCATGGAAAAAAGCGATCGCACCTGGCGATCCAGGCCGATAGCAATCCGTGGGTATTTGGAGGTCACGCGGGCAGGGACTCAATCCCTTCAGTCGTGCCCTTGGGCCGTGATGCCACTGTTGAGCATTTGTTGCCCCGAAAGGAAACAAGATCACAAGAGACCCCAACATCTACAGGGCTCCTTAAAAGAAATTCATTTTGCAACCTTTTGAAACATCGTTGTTTCCACCAAAACAAAGGGAAACCACCATTTACAAGGCAATGCTCAGGTGTATAATGTAAGGATCCCTGATCTACCTGGACCTTCAACTTGAAGTTTAGAACAGGGGAACCTCATACAACTACTTGAGTTGGTAACCCCCTTTGTATACGCTTCCTCCTACTCCAAATACCTGCCATTTTTCTGCCCGCTAGTGGAGTGTGCAGACTTTACCTGAAAGATCTCTCCTTTAAGTGGCAAATGAGTATGTCGTTGAAATAGGGGAGACTCGAGAATGGTTTCGGTTTTCCTGTGGGTTTCCCTTGAAAATCCACCAAGCCTCCAAAAAGCTCACCTCTTGTTCTTGTTGGCAAGCCGATGAGTTCAGTGGAGCCCCCCAAATTCCCAACCTCGCCGTTTGGACATTTATCCGTTTTGGGATCTCCTCAGGTTTTTGGAAATCTCCGAAACGGAAACAGAACATGTCGGGGGTGTCTCTTTTTTTTTTTGGGGGGGGGGGGGGCAAAATGGTGTTTGTTTTCCTGTAAAAACTGTCAAACAACAGGTATACTCTCAAAACAAACACCCATACTGGGTGGATGTTTTAAGAGGGCACCCGAAATGGTGGACATCAAGATTCGGTTGGTCCCGATTCATGTCCACCCAATTGAGTTCGGTGCAAAGCGAATCTATCACAGCATGACTGTTGGAGTACGGCTCGAACAAGAACTAGCCCTAACCAATTGTGATATTACACAAATTTATGGTTGCATGGCGGTTCCAACCCGTTCGGTTCCTTAGGTATTTTGGTGTTTAGGGTATTTGTGGCTTTTTGCAATTCGCCCCAAACAAGTTAAACCTTTAGCAGGAGATCGGAGGACAGGTTGGCAAATTTTCCCTTTCCGGGCAGTTTCCTCGGGTCCAGCTCCTGTTTTGCGGGAAAACATGTCCTTGGCAAGTTGCGTCGGTCGAAGCGGAACCAGGTACCCCCCCACTCCTTTCTCCAACCTGGATCGCCGGTTGCGATCGCTTTTTTCCATGAACTTTAATCCAAAACCGGCAACAGTGACTGAAAAAAGCGATCGCAACTAGGCTATCTAGGAAGATGTTTTTTGTCAACGGGTCGCGTCGGTTCATCGCGGAGCGGCTTTACTGCGCTTCGGACTCCCTTGGGAAAAGCGGCGGCCGAGCGCAGGGGGTCTTCGTGCAGTTCTACAAATTGCTGCGCTTGGGCCGGGAAGGCTACACCGGGCAGGCGCAAGATGCTCGCGTCACTTAAGGATCTGTTGAGCACAGGAGGCGATACTTACTCTTTACTTAGAGGGTGGTGCGTTTCTGTTTTGTGTTGCTACTGTTTGTTGCTCCCCTCCTTACCTAGGGAAGTGGGGGGAAGGTGGATTTCGACCCGTGGAGATCTCCATTGCTTCTAGTTTTGCCTGTTTTATGGGGAGACTAAACAAATGGAATTGAGGGACCCCCCCCCCTTTCGAAGTGGGGGGGGAGTGGATGTTTGTTACTTTGTTGCATTTTGCTTGGATGTTAGGACTTTAACTTTTTGCAAACTAATGGGTTTTCCATTAAACCACTAAAAGTTAGACTCTTAGCAGGGGAGCGGGAAGCAACCGAGGTTATTTTCCCCTTGCATGATTACAAATTGCACTTCAATTGAGCGCGGATTGACTTTGGGATCCGACTACGGAAGGAGTATTGAGGATATCATACGAGATTCGGTCAGAGTATTATGGAGGACCACGAGGAATCCTCCAAATTTAAGCACAGATAAATGAAAAATAACACGCACACATGTCCAACCGCTATAGTAAGTAACCAGGGGTTTCCCCATCATGCAAAACCAGAGCTAAGGAACCAGTCACTGATTCACTCTGACGTTTTGGTTGCGACTGGGCTCAGCTACTTTCTGAAACTCTGGTTTGCGTTGCACCTTTTGGACTTCTGGTGGCACGTGTGAAGGGGTCTGACCCGTGTTGACTTGCTTTTGTCCACGCGTACCTCTTGCAGCCGTATGGACGATTTTCCGAGCGAAAACCGACGCAGGTTGAGAACCAGATGAGCGTGGCGCAGTTCCTTCGGGAAGGCGAGTCAGGGGTCTATGGGCGAGCCTCTTTTGTTTCGGATTTGGACCCCAAATTGGCTTCCCTCCTCTTGTTTAGTAAAGGATCGACGGCATATCCTATGATACCCTTCACTGTTCTTGGCATGTTTTTTGGATTTTAGTTGTTTGGTTCTGTTCATTTTTACTGGGGGTCTGCAAAAAAAAGTTTTTCGCTACCATACCAAGAGTAGAGATGACCCTGAAAGGAGTAAGAAGCCATCTAGGTGTGTCTTTAAGGTTGGGCCCCCCGAATTAGCTGTGAAGATAAAAGATACACCCACCCACTTGGATCTTTTTTCGCCCAGCCAAAAAAGCAGGTGCTGAAGGTGATGTGACGCTTTTCCACTGGTCATGAGTGGCTGCTAGCAACTTGGTGTGGACCACAGTCTAGGTCCCCCAGTTCCATCTTTCTGGGTGAATTAGAACGACCGAATTCACCCCAAATGGTGGTTTATGTGGCTCATTGTGGCTCAGTTGTTCAGTGGCTCCAATTTTTTTCCAACTTTTTTTGGTGGCTGCCCCACTAGAATTGGTCTTCCCCAAAAAGGGGTCCCATTTTTTTCCAGGGTCACTGAACAACTGAGCAATAGTCTAGGACCCCCTGCAGTTCCATCTTTTCTGGGTGAATTAGAACGACCGAATTCACCCCAAATGGTGATTTATGGGGCTCAGTTGTTCAGTGGCTCCAATTATTTTCCCCTTTTTTTTGTGGCTGCCCCACTAAAATTGGTCTCCCCAAAAAAGGGATCCCTTTTTTCCCATGGTCACTGAACAACTGAGCAATAGTCTAGGACCCCCTGCAGTTCCATCTTTTCTGGGTGAATTAGAACGACCGAATTCACCCCAAATGGTGATTTATGTGGCTCAGTTGTTCAGTGGCTCAAATTATTTTCCCCTTTTTGTGGTGGCTGCCCCACTAAAATTGGTCTCCCAAAAAAATGGTTCCCTTTTTTTCCATGGTCACTGAACAACTGAGCCACAGTCTAGAACCCCCTGTTCCATCTTTCTGGGTGAATTATGACCTCACATGACCGAATTCACCAATGGTGGTTTATGTGGCGAATCTTCCCCCAATCACCTTATTTCAGGTTGGTGACTATTTTTTATTCACCCAGATCTTTGTGGAGGGTAGTACTGCCTTGCTTTCGGACGCCGACAGCAGAACACCTTTTCTTCTGCCCGAGACAGCCATCCGGCTATGCTTTGTGGTCACGATCACCCTGAATAAAGATTGGTGGACGCATATTGGGTGTGGCTCAAAACTAAACGATCGGGGCAAACCGCAGGTTTTGGTACCCGTGTTTCCACTTACAAGGATTCCATTTTGAGGTTACCCGGTTTTTTTAGCCACAGCCATTCCCATGCAACATGTCCACCAAAGGGTACCCCGGTCAAATCGCCATGTCCCATGTCTCACACTTGAATGGCGCCGGTATTCTCTCAAGGGCGCACCTGAAACATGACCGTTGTCCTTTTGATGTCCCTTCAACCAAACGTCATTGAACGACCCCAACAAAACAAGAAGACCCAACATAGTTTCCAGTTGACGGACGTCGAAGCAGAATGGACGTCGAAGCAGCATAAGTTAATAAGCCATGGTGGTTGTTGGGAAACATGTTTCCCATTTTTGCTTATTGTGGTTTAGTGGTTGGTTTCTCCAAATCCACTTAGCTGCTACAATTTGAGGTTTTTTTTTGCTCCCCAAGCCCAACGTCAAGTAAGTTTCGTCGATCTGACTTCCTGCGTTCCGTTTCGGACTTGAGACTCTTGGACCATGGTACACACATTTTGGGGCTATCCAAAGGAAGTGAGTTTGGCTTTCTGTGAAAACATGGCGGGGGGGAGGGAAAGGGCAGGGGATTCTCAGGCCTTGTTGTGTCTCTACCCCCGAAACCTCAAAATACCCGCTTTTTTCAGTCGGGAGTTTTGGGAAAACCGAAAAGGGTTTTCCATGGCAAACACCAAACCTTGTTTAGTAGAGGGTCGACATGATACCAACTGAAAAAAAGGCCGGGTATTTGGAGGTTACGGGGGTAGTAGAAGGTTTGCCTATGGCTCAACCCCAAAGCTAATCACTACTGGCAGTTTTTTCTCTTTTTTTTTCCAGGGGTCTAACCAAATGGAAGTTCTCTATTCCATGTCCATGGCAAATACCTTCTTTTTGAGTAGAGGGTCGACATGATACCAACTGAAAAAAGGCCGGGTATTTGGAGGTTACGGGGGTAGTAGAAGGTTTGCCTATGGCTCAACCCCAAAGCTAATCACTACTGGCAAGTTTTTCTTTTTTTTTCCAGGGGTCTAACCAAATGGAAGTTCTCTATTCCATGTCCATGGCAAATTCCTTCTTTTTGAGTAGAGGGTCGACATGATACCAACCGAAAAAAGGCCGGGTATTTGGAGGTTACGGGGGTAGTAGAAGGCTTGCCTACGGCTCAACCCCAAAGCTAATCACTACTGGCAATATGTTCTATTTGTTTCTTGGGGTCTAACCAAATGGAAGTTCTCTATTCCATGTCCATGGCAAATACCTTCTTTTTGAGTAGAGGGTCGACATGATACCAGCTGAAAAATGGCCGGGTATTTAAACTCTACGAAGATATATTCAATCTCCGCGAAAGACGAAAGGCCTGCAGAGCATCCAGCACAACGGCGAGTCTGTGTTCACGCTTCTGGACGCCGTGGGCATGAGCAGCCAGAAGCTTTGCCTGCCGGCCGCTCGGCTTTTCATATCTAGGTCCCCCAGCTAGGTGCCTGACTTGTAGAACCAAATGGAAAGGCAGCTCTCAACCTCCTAAACCAACCCAAAGCATCACCGCGGGGCAAGCTGAATGACCATTACCTTTTTGTCGCGTTTTTTCAGGTTGGTATTTGTTGCGGCGCCCGTAAAGAATCAACGTGCGGGGCCTGAAGAGGGCCAATGCCCTTTGGTTGGCTAGGTCCTCCAGCTAGGTGCCCTTTCGGTGGAGATTCGGTTCCCCTACTAAAATAGACTACAGAAGAAGAAAAAAAAGTGGGTACCCTTAAAAAGTGGGTACCAACTTATTCTAACCTCTCACATCTGGAGGACCTAGACGTCCTTGGGGATGAATCTTGGGCTTGGTTTTTGATCAAAGGGCTGTGGTTGTCAAAACCAATGGTATCCCATTTTTGGTTGGTAGGTGCACCACTCCAGCATGCCCACAGTTGCTCAAGTCTGGCAGGCTTCGTCTTCCTGGCACGTGTTTCTTTGTTCTTTGAGTTGGTACACCTTCCTTGCTGGACATTTTGGGAGGTCCCCCCAAAAAAAGCTCACTTCCCGAGTGTTTTTTTGGTACAAACCGTCCAAAAACTTGTAGGTTACCACTCAAATGGCCTGCCCAAAAAGGTTCAAAGTTTGGGAACTCAGAAAATAAGAAAACGACGGGGCTATCCCTTACTAAGCCCTCAATAACCCCTCAATAAGGCCTTACTGTGGATGGATAAACCACCTGAAAAAGCATGGGACACCATTGTTGGTATGTGCACGGAAATCATCAGACACCAGGGTTTCTGAGGTGGTGCAGGATTTTGTCCATCCACAGGTTTAGGGGCTTATCCTTGGCTCATCCGCCCCCCCCTTTCAAAGCCCCCAGGAGGCGTCCATGAAAAGGTAACATCCGGCCAAGGTCTTAGCTCTGGCATACTGTGGACGGACGCAATCCAGTTCGATCCACGTAAGAAACCCTGGAATGATGATTCCCCTGTCTAATAGCAGCAAGCAAAAATAATTTCCCATATTTTGTTTCCAAGTGGTGCAGTATTTTGTCCACCAACAATTCACCACAAAGCCATGCTGCCGTTTGGTGTATCGGTTTCTAGGTGCCTCACTTGCAGCACGGATGGAGCACGGATGGATTTCATCCGTCCACGGCAGTTTGGTTCGGGCTTCAAGAAATATGTTGCCGCAAGGACAGCCAAAGCTTACCTTTGGGGTTGAGCCATAGGCATGCCTTCCACTACCCCCGTAACCTCCAAATACCCTGCCTTTTTGTTCAGGGTATCGTGTCGACCCTCTACTAAAAAAAGGCTTTGGTATTTACCATGGAAAACCAGGTGAAGAAGTGGGTATTTGGATTAGGGGGTGGTTTTGGAAGTCAAGGGAACCCTTGAGCAACAAAAGGACACTGGCTTACCCTCGTAGCCACACAATACTCACGTTATTTCGTTGATATCATGTCGAGGTTTGGCATTTACCCGGTTTCAACCGATCGGTCTTCAGAAACAAGCGCTGGTATTTGGAGCCTGCAGGGGTAGGGCTCAAAACATCCAGCTTTGTAGGATTGCTCGCTCAGCATGTTGTACCCAGACCTCCAGATGGGAGGGCGGAGAACGCTTGTTTGCCTTGTTCTGGGCCGTTTTTGTTTCTCCTCATGCAAGGCATTTTGTGGTTTTGGGGGGATGAAAAGGGTTCAGGACTGTGGCTTCTTATTGCAAGCAAGCCAAACATAGGAAAGAAACAGAAAGCCATTGGTATAGTAAATGCACTGTGAGTTGGAGGGTTTCGGCTTGTTGCATGACTTGCAGGACCTTGGCATCCGTGCCTTGGTTTCCCTAAAAGCCTTTCCCGGAATCCAATGGTGCCGCGCTCGAGGTGGTCACGGCGATGATCAACCCTGAGCTGGGCTTGCCTTTTGCGACTCGCCTTGTGCTTTCAACCTCCGCAACTTCCAAGTACCCCCTGGATCGCCAGTTGCGTTTTCGCTTTTTGTCCATGGTTCTTGTCCCCCAAAGACCGAGCGCAACAGCGACTGAACAAAGCGAAAGAGGCGACTTGGCGATCTTCTTTCCCTAAGCTGCGGCAAAAACGGGGGGATCGAATCGATGAAGCGCCTCATTTGATGTCTGGTGACCTGCCAGCCTTTGGGGGAAAATTGGTGGTTTCTCGGGAAAAAAAATCAGAGCCACTTGCGCAAAAACTGGGTTGGATGAAGGTTCAGGGACAATGCAACCATCGTAGGCGTGGATGTCCGGCTTTTTCATTCTTGGTGCTGGGTTTTGATTGTGACTCATACGAGGGGCCATTCACATCATTCAATCAATCAGCAAGCTGTCTTCACCCCGTTTTTTGGTCCTTCGGGATGAGGATCCCAGTAAAGAACCTACGTCCTGGCTGGTTTGACCGAAGCGGTCAACCGCAACTCTCAAGTCTTCGATCCATCCTTGATAAGTCCGTTGGGTTAGGGTAGTTCAATTGTCTCACTTCCGCTCGAGCGGCTTGGTCAAACAACGCAAGGCCAAACTTGTTGTGTGCCACTCAAATGGTCCAAGCAGAAAAAACAATGCCTACAGTCCGAAACGGAACACAGGGAGTGAGTGGTGGGAAAATCGACTCGTTGTACAATGGACAGTCCAACCCATTGCTTGCCAAATCGGCGTTTCGCCACAGAACAGAACTCAACTCGGAAGTGAGACATCACCAAAGCTATGCACCCCATGTCCATCTTGTTCGCCGCCCAATCAGCCAATTCTTGTTTCAGGTGCTGGAGTCATTTTAGAAGTTGCAGGTGTTTGACTTTGGGTACTGCAAGTGAGGGAACAAGGGAAACCCTTTTCTAACCGCAATGTATTATTGTTCCAGCAGGGGACGCCATGGGGGCTGCTTTTTTGCAGGTAGTAATAATAGATTAAAAACACAAATCCTTAACAATAATACAACCTCAAAGTGCCTCGTGCTAAAGTCTACCAAAAGAGCTCGAGAAACGAAAACATGACGAAGACCAAAAGCACCAAAAACAACAGAACAACCACCAACGTTGCAGACAGGGGGGTGGAATGGGGTGGGCCCAAATTTCTCCGGGTTTCGCCACCCTTTTCCGTCGGCTCCGAAGAAAAAAAATCGATCCCTTCCCGGAAACCGCCGGATGGGATGGGCTTCGGCTCGCTTCGATGCGTATGGAAGACGTGAGCCCGAAGCGGTAGGCACCCCGGGAGTCGGTGGTTGGGACCCGGTCTCAAGACTTCAGGTTTGAAGGCCCTAGATCAATCGAATTGGAACCTCTGGGTACCGAGAAAAAAAAAGCAGGGATGCCTGGTTGGCAATAGCCACTTCCACTGCTTTGGGGGAGTTCCAGGGTCCAGGTCTGAGTTTAGATTTCAGGTTGACTAAAAATGGAGACATCGATTGGTCGTATTGAGGACGACATCGACTTTCAGCATGTGGTCGCCCAGGGGCGGCTTGGCGCAAGGGCGCGAGAAGTTTCCTGGTTGATTTGTTTCTCTTCTTCCATTGGCCCCACACGCAATACCCGCCTTTTTGTGGGGTATTTGTTTTGGAAATCCAGGGATTCCGGGTTTAAATACTTGACATCATACCCTAGCATACCAGGAAAGAAGTGGGTATTGGGTGCTTTGGGTATTTGCCTTCTTCCATTGGCTTAAATTTGTATTTCAGATGAGCGTTATCTCGCAGAAACTGTGGGCAGTTGGGTTCCTTCCATTTGCTTTCCTTTATTTTCCCCTGGTTTTCAAAAGAATCTACGCGCTACCCCAAATGCCTAAGACGCATTTTTCTCCAAAAAACACACTGAAACCAAGCGGCGCTATTTGGAGTAGTTGGGGGCTAGTGGAGCTGTGTGAAAGGCTTGCCAGTTTCTGTGACCTCGTCTCTCCAGTTTCCAAAGCAAACAAAAAAATCAAGCAAAAGTTTGGGTTGCAACTGCTTCTTCGGGTGTATCACTTTGAAGCAACTAGGTCCCCCCAGTAGTGCCCTTTTACCAACTTTTTTGGGAAAGGGTTCCCCTACTAAAATAGACTCCGAAAAGAAGGTACGCTTTTTCTATCCTCTCTACTGGAGGACCTAGGTAATATATTTGATTCCCAAGCAGAAGTTCTGGCGGGGGTATCACTGCCGAAGAAGACAAATAACCCAGCATTCTGGTTGGTGAGTCTTTCCCCCTTGTTTATGGGCACTTTCAGGGCCTAGCTAGATCGTTTCCACCAGCCAACCCCGCAGTTAAACTGCTTGGGTGTTGGATTAGCCAAGTTGTTAACTTCTTGGTAACCTAGGTTGTAGCCCACTTGTAAGTTTTCCCAAGGACAGTGACGGGTTGTAAGCCAAGTGGCTAATCGCAGACACGAACTTGGCAACGAATATCCACAAGGGGAAGAACTTAACATTCAACATACGCCCTGCCCACCCGAAATCGATCTCCAAGTCGACATCGAGCAAAAAAACATGAGGCACTGGTACGTCAGTGGCTACCACATGTCGATGCATCATCCGCTCACGGAGGAGCAGCAACGCAAAACCCGGATTGAACTGCACGGGATGCGCAAGGTTCCTTGCCCCATTGGCAGAATGGCCCAAGGGGACAAACATTAGATGGTGACAAATTAGGTAAACAATAGTGGGCTGTATTGACCCAACCATTGTTTTTAATTGTGGCTTGAACCCCAGGAGATGTGTTTAACGGAGCACAAAGAATAGAATTGTAGAGGATGATTTTGAATCAGACAGGATGAATACACTCTTTGCTGTTTCCACAGAAATTACCCGTACAGTTTGGATGATTGGAACCCAACGTTATCGGTGAATTCCATTGTTTAATGGGTAGTTTGAGGGTCCAGGCAGATGTTTTTTCTTCAGTATTTTCAGTTCTGTTTCGGACCTTATACTTTTGGATCCATTGCAAATGCAAAGTTCGGCTACTTTTTCTGGCCAACCCACGCCAAAAATGAGTTCAGGACTAGGTTTTGAGGTGTTTGTTTGTTTTTTTAAAGTTTCAGGGAGGTTTCCCTTTAACCCACTCAAAGATAAAAGTTTAGGAGATCTGAGGACAGCCCAGTTTTTCAAGGGTCCGGGAGTACAGAGATTGATGAAACTGGCAAAGCACAGGGTCTAAGGGCTGGGTGGGACACGTGCTGGGACTCTGAACTCAGTTTCTGTCTACAGATATGTAGACCCCCTGCTCGAAAGGTTTTCCATCGGAATTACCTTGCCTTTGGGCCAAGTATTGACATCAACAAAATGGCACGCCCTTCCCAGTTTTCTTTCTTAGGATCCCATTGCCCGCCCTCCTCTCGAGATTCGGACTTAGAGCTCATGACTCGAGATGGGTGAAATTAGATGGACATACAAAAGGAAAGGAAATTACGCAAGCCGCTGTACAGATCCAAGCTTTTCAGACCTCAGCTGAGCCAAAAGTCTATGTTGTCTCAGAAATTCTGAGAAGGACATAGGAACATAGCGGGGGCGGGGGGTGGGGGGGGTCCAAATCTGATTTCCCACGAGCCTAAATTGCATCGAAGCGGGAAACACTTGTGCCCATGTCCAATTGGTGAATTTCTATATCCACTGCTCATAGGTGTCCTTTTCAGGAAAATCTGTGACTGGGTTCTGGTTTAGATTGGTTCTATTCCGCCATGAATTTGTCCAAACACCTAGGCTACTGCTAGTCAGAATGGAGTGGGGTACACGGTATACTTATATACATAGCTACATTAAATCATGATGAAAGGAGAAAAGTTATTGTTTCGTTTGCCCATCCGGACTCCGAAAACATTGTATTGACTACAATATGAAACATCATCTGAACAGTCAAAATAGGGTTTCGGCCCCACAAAGTGACGGGTGTCCTTGCAGTTTTCCTTTAAATCAGGTTAAAACCAGTACCCTTCAAACAACCTTTGCCACATCCCCCTACTCCAAGTACCTGCTGTTTTCAGGGATGTTGACCCTCTACCGAAAAAAGGAGGCAACTACCATGGAAAACCTGGTTCTTGAAAATTCCCTACAAAGGAAGGGCATTTGGAGTGGCGGCCTGGATCGCCAGTTGCGATCGCTTTTTTTCCATGAAGTTTACCCCAAAAGCCGATCGCAACAATGACTGAAAAACGCGAAAAAAGCAACTTGGCGATCTAGGAAAGTCCCTTTACCCTTCGGTTTTGTAGGGAGCGGGTCAGCGCCGCCCTTTAAAACCCCAAAGCCTCCATTTGCTTAAGATGTTTTTTTCTTTCTTTCCTTCCCCCTTTGTATTAAAAGGAATTCATCACTGGATGTGTTTTTGTTTTTGGGTATAAACTCGGTGAGGAGACCACGCCCCTCTTCACGGACCAGCCGTCGGAGCAAGCGATGTCGCCCGGCCGAAGGTCCGAAGGTGTTGGTCCCGGCCGAAGGAAGATAGCACTCAATCCATAACTAAGATAAACAATCAACCTCTAAGGTAAATGTGTTTTTTTTTCGTTGTCTCGTTTTTTTTTTCTTGTTGTGGGTTGGAATGTCGTGTTTGTGTTTTTCTTTCTTCTTATTTTTGTTTCCGCGGTTTAAGCATCTCATAGAAAGGGACCGCGGTGACAACCACAAGGTGTTGGTCCCGGGTGATGTAAGAGGCAGAGGTGATGTTAGAAAGGGACCCCACAGTCTGTTTTTGGGATGCACCACTTTCGTGGCAAACATGAAGCTTGGACTGACTTGTTGGGCCATCCACTCGATCGGGAGTGAGCAATGGGTTATCTTTCCACAGTTTTGATCCAACCAGTCGGGGAAGAAACGACAAGAGCCGTTATTTCCCTATTGGATGCTTCTCCAGCTTCAGCAAATGGCAGTAAATGGTTGGTTTTCTGTTGGCTTCCCTTTAGAACCACCAAACAAGGGGGTCTCTCAAACATTTGAAAAAGAGAGGGGTACGCTGTGGGCCCTAGTGTTTTCCATATGAAATGGTTGTTTTTGCAGACGCGCAAACAGGTTAAATCACATGAAATCATGACAAAGGCGCTTGGGTGCAAAAACCCAGGGCCCAAAACATACCCTTCTGTTGGTAAACCACAACCCCCCAACTCCGAATACCCACTTTTGCTAGTTCGTATTTTTGGAAAACCGATCGGTCTTCCATGGTAAATACCAATCTTTTTGTGAGCAAAGCCTTGACATCATACCCTAAAAAGTTCGGAAGGCCCGGACTCGAAGAAACTACCTGAAGCTACGGCTGGTTTTTGCTGCACGACAGGTACGGGGACGAACTGAACGCGTGTTTTTTTTCCCCCAACGGTGATTCCTTTGTTCGGATCTCAAAAAGACGAGCTTCATCTTAAGATATATTCATGTTTTGCACGTGTCCGAAAATGAACAGCCCACATGGGCATTGACTCGTTCATCTTTTCTGTGTAACCACACCTAAGGCATAGATTCGACTTGTTGATTTTTTGTTGTGGCACCGATGTAAGTTTTGCTGTTTGATCCGAGTATACGTCAGTTTTTTGGGGGTGGTTTTTTGTTGGACTTTGCTTTAAAGGAACACTAAAGGGACCCCCACATCATGTTTTTTGGGTTGTCGTCTATTTTAAAACACACACCTATCTGTACTTGCTTCCCGAGGGAACTGTGATTCCTCTCACGCTGATATTGCATTCACAATGGCAGTGTGTCGACAATATGAACCCAAAATGGAAGCCTAGTATCTGCGGTCCCCTGGTGGTTTGGTTTTGATTTCTACCCCAATGCTTCGATACTACCTTGTTTTGACCCCAGGTGTCCGGGGAAAAATGAAAGCATCGTGCAATGCCCACCCAGTTGCCCCGTGGATTCCTTCCTTTCTTTCCAACCGTGTGAAGGATTCCCCAAACTCAAACCACCAAAGGATGCGTCCATGATTTTCCCACGGAAGCTGGGCATCTGAGTCTGTAACAATAATCAGCAGCCCGCCTAGCTCAGTCGGCTTGTGGGTTCGAGCTCGGCGGTGCATCCTGAAACTCTAGTGGGCATCTGAGTGAGGTTCCGAATTGTCGTGAAGAACAACCTCACCATGAGCAGCTCGATTGCCTTCGATTCAATCGGCCTTCGACCCCTGCAAAACTGACTTTGGTACCCAACTGATCCAATCGAGCAGCGCCAAGCGCGAAGATAACCAAAAACCGCACTCTCCTTTTGGGCTATCATGTATCTTTCGAGGGATTGCACCTTTGTGGATTTCGTTTCTGCGTTCCTTCTTTGGAGGGCAGGCCATTAGTGCTTGACGCCCTTTGGAGTGCTTGGCTATTTGGTCCCAAAAACGCGGTTCCGATCCTGCAAGGAAAACTGTTTGGGCTCCTTGCTAGTTGGACCCCCATATGAATCAAGCCCAGGGGGTGTTGTTGGGTTTAAGTGGGGAATCATCGACTTGTGGAGGGTTCCCCACCCCCAAACTCAGAAACTGGGGTTGGCTTGGGGTCAACGTGGAACCTGCCTTGGAGAGCCAGCTCAGCACCCCGGAACCGGTCCTTCAACTTGCACGTGGGAGTGTGTTCTTTGGGCCCCCCTTGTTCAGGTACCAGCTCGTTGACAGTTTAGATTGGTTGGGGATTCGAACAATGATTCTAGAGGGGAAAAGCACCACCAAACCATCAGTCCAAACCACCTGTTAGAGGGAAGACGACTTTTGACTCACAGTAAAACACCAAGTAATTTGATTTACCCTCCCTTTCACAAACATGGCACCTGACATGGGGTCCTTCCAAGAAGATATTGATGTTCCAAGTACCCGTTTCCAGGCATGGCAACGTGGGAGGAAGGGCAAAGGAGCCAATAGGCCAAGCGGAGGCCATCCATTTGTTGGGCTTCGCCGAAAGTGGCACAAGCCCCCCGCGTCAAGGCATTGACACCATCCTGTAACCTCCAAATACCCGGCCTTTTTTCAGTTGGTATCATGTCGACCCTCTACTAAAAAAGCTGGTATTGTCCCAAGTTTTCCCAAAAATACCCTGAGCAAGTCGGTATTTTGAGTAGGGGGCACACCATTGGGCAATGGGGGACACTCACCGTAATTCCATATCAGTTGACGCGAAGAATATTGGCCGTGACTCCCCCGTGACCAACCAACATCCACTTTTTGCAGAGCATGATGCGGTACGATGGAAAACCGCGACTAGACCTCCAAACTTACTCCCCTACAAATCGACATGCCCTAGGCTCATGACCCCTCCAATGCAGGCCCCCAGACCCTTCGATGAAACACCCGGACAGTGAGGGGGCCTTTGAAAACAGAACAATTTCCCCTACTCCAAATACCCGCTTGTTTCAGGGTATTTTTGAGAAAACTGGTTTTCCGAGGTAAATACCTCCTTTCTTAGTACAGGGTCGCCCCTGGGTAGCCAAAGCAAGCATCGGTCGAAACTATGGGAAGGGGGTCAGTGCAAGGGATACTCTACCATGCGTTTATGTGTCAAAAAATCGGGCCATGGACTCAAACCGGACGTCCGGTTGGCCGGCTCCTGTTTGTAAGTCCACCCCGTTGAAGGAAAGTACCGAGCCGTAAGCCGCTTCCAAATGGAGAGATGCCATCCACTTTCGCCCAGATGCATGGAGCCCCCCCTTTGCTCGGAAAGAGCAAGTCCAAGTTTCAGCATGCCTCAACACGGTTGGGGCCTTGGGGGGGGGTTGGGTTTATCGTTTGTTTGCTCACTTCCTGAGCAAGTTTGACTTTTGTTGGACCATCCACTTACTCCACGCGAGTCTCCGGTGCGGTGAGTTTCGGTCTGAGGAATGGCGGCCAATCTGCTGGATGAGATGAAAACGGCGGTGCAGTTCTTGCGTGGCGGCCCAGAGCCGAAGGAAGTCGAAGGCCGTGTGAACTCAACCCCCGTACCGTCCAAGTGCTCGGCGGCTTTGGTTACGTGTTTTTTTCTTCCCCGAGTTGCCAACCTCCCATCCGGCCTGACTGGGTCCAAGAATATTTTCCTTTCCAAAGGGCACTCTAGTGGTTTTCCGTGTTAGTGGACAAAAGGCTGCTCCCTACACGAGTTAGCAGTTGGTATGGTCGGGTATGATGGCAAACCCTGACTAACAAAGGTGTTGACCTTGGGAAACCCATCGGCTCTTCAAAAAAAAGACCCGAGAAAGGCGAGGGTCTTTGTAGCGGGTATCATGTTGGAAAACCGAAATCGGCTTTCCAGGGTGAATTCCTCCTTTTGTAAAGGCCGGGTCAACCTCATAGCCCAAAGAAACGGGGTATTGGGTCTAGGGGGCGACCTTGTTGGGGTTTTTCTTAGATCGGAACGCCCGAAGCAAGGCTCAACTCAGAAACGTGCAGCAAACTCTCCCGCCGAACGAAACGGTGCCCTCTGCTCCTTTGGGAATGCACGGGGTTCAAAGTTGAGAAGCTGACTTGTGATTGGCGTTTTGTGCAGGCTTGGCTTTTGTGCTGAAGCATCGAACTAGGTTCTGGCTGTGGGTCAGAACCAATGGTACCATTTTGGGGTAGGTGCACCACCCTAGTCTATTTTTGTGGGGATTGGGATGTTCACTCGGGGTATGGGATACCCATGACCATCTGTTCTGCGTTGATTTGTGGGGGTCACTTGTTGTTTGCGGCGTCTGTTGTTGACAACGGTGCTGGGGTGTCTTTTGTTGCTTGGGGGGCCAACCAACAAGTGGATGGGGGAGGGGGAGGAGTGATGAAAAATCTGGCCAAGCACTAGGGCCAGACAAAAGCATCCAAAGGGACCCGACCCATTTGGGTGTGCCTTCTTTTGGAGTCGGTACCCGTTTGTTGTGACATAAAAAACAAATAGAACCCCTCCCGTTTTGGTGGTTTCACAAGGAAAACCTTTCTTTTTTGGTTTTCAGGGGGAAAACCGGAAAACCCAAGCACTTCTGTTTCTGGGTGGGTCCAACCAGCACCCCCGGAGCGACTAAGGATCAGCCATGGCAAGGGCTTCCAGCACCGAAAGCCCAAACGCCCGAGCGCCGAGCTGGAGCCCGCGGCCTTTTTCCGCTGGATCCACGTGCTTGGAAAAGGTGTACCTGGAGTCTCCTTCTGACCCGAATCAAAAATGGGTCCATGACCCCATTAATTTTGGGGTAATGACCCCATTTTTGCAGGGTCATGGAGACTCCAGGTAGTAACCAAGGGCTTGTCACCCTTCGAAAACCAAAAGAGAAGAGCAGTACTGCCCCTTGCCGTTTTGTAAGAGCATTTTGAGAAGAAAAAAGCAGGGCGGTTTCCCATGGTAAATACCCATCGCTTTTCGGGTTTTTTCGGGTGAACATAGCCCGAAGAAAAGTTCATTTGGAGTAGGGGTTGGGTTTGCCTCAAGAGCATTTGGAGTTTCAAATCCCGATCCGAACCACCCGGCCTAGTTGGTATCATGACCCAAAAGAAAAGGGATCAAGATCAAGCATGGAACCCAACGATCGGTTTTCCAAGAAGCTGAATTTCCAAAACCCGGGGTAGTTGGGTAGGGAACAAGCCATAAACAGACCAAAGGCCGCCTGGTCGATTGGATTTGGTAGACCATATGGTGGCAGAATCAAACAAATTCCCGGGTAAGTTAATGTTTGGGACGATCCCATAAATAACTGCGGATATCCGGCTTAGTTCTTTACGTGGTTCTGGGTCGATCATGTTTGTACCGGGTTTTGATGATGACTCATTTTAGCGCCGGCTTTCTGACTAAAATGGAAACACTGCTTCCAGGCTTGCCGCTGGGATACATGTGAGGACCTCGGACCTGATTTCCCAATTGAGAACGAACCTGCTTCAGTTTTCTTAGGAAAAGGATGTATATGATACCCAGAACAAAACTGATGTATTGGGAGTAGAGGGTACGGCTAGAGAAGGTCACCAGGCAACCAGGCTTTCAGAACACATCAACTAAACCGTCCATTTGCGATTCAGAATATGGAATTGTTTCCCCGAAGGATGGTTTTGGGTGTTTTTCCAGAAGACTTCAGCAGATGGCTATGAAATGAGAAGATGGTTGGACACACCCCTGGTCGAACAATGATATCCTTCCTGAAATCATGGATGACAGGGAGGTTTTGAAGACTACCTTCCCTTCTTCCTGGAACACCCCTCCACTTTCATGTTGGAAAGAGGGCGCACCTCTTTTTTGGCATGCAGGGCGCGTTTCATGGGACGCGACACATTTTCCTGCATACCATTTTGCCCATGGCTGGTGATTTTAGGGCAACATTTTTTTTGATTAATGGGCCCTCCTTCTCCAAATGCTCCCTTTTTGTTGAGGGTAAGTCTCAGCAAACCGATCGTTACCTCCTTTGTTGGTGAGGGTTGACATGTTACTAACTTAACAAAACGCCTTCTTTAATCATCCTTTTAGCAAGGGTTGACATGCTTCCAGCCATAAACACAATGCGATAGTTTTGGTGGTCCCGGGGTAGTTCTACTCTACTCCAAATACCCGGCCTTTTTTGAGGGTATCATGTCGACCCTCTACTAAAAAAAGGTTTGGTATGTACCATGGAAAACCGCTCGGTTTTCCCCAAACATACCAACTGAAAAACGCGTTGGTATATTGAGTAGGGGGGAGCGAACTTTGCGCCGTTGAGTGGTACCTTGGTAGTCCAGCTCCCCAAGCTGCTCTTTGGACACTGAACGTGTTTTGAGTAGTGGGTATGGCTGCGCCTGAAGGCTCGACCCATTTTTCGGAGACTCTGAAGCGGAGGTCGGAGTTCGGCCGGGGCTTGTCCAAGGCCTGCACACGCACAAGGCGGTCCCAGCCGGGCACTCGGGGCGGGGGGGGGAGGGAGGGAGGGACTTAAGGTAAATGGGTAATAGCCCTTGTTCCCTTTATTTGGGCCAAACGAACCCCGAACGTTACTTCTTAAAGGGGCAGGTTACGTCAGGTACGTGGGTAATAACCATGGTTATAACCCACTTACCATGGCAATAAGTCTCCTATGTGGGTTACAACGATTACCCACTTACAAAGTGCTTTGCCCCTTTAAGTACCCTCAAAAGATATCAAGCTAGGGTCGGTCATCGGGAGCTCGTCGAGCGATACGACCTGGCTCGAGTGCGTGCGATACTGCAGGCGCACTCTGAGAACGGTCGTGTTTACAGCGTCTTCGCGATGAAGGCCTTCGCGTACTGCGAGGCAGACCCCATCTACATTATTGACGGCCGGTGGTATGTGCTTCTGGCAGCACGGCGTGTGCCAAACCGGCTCGTCCTGGACGTGGATTGGATTGACAACATGGCGCGCAAGACTGACAAGAACATGAACGACGGGATTTGGAGGGGTCACTACACCCCAATGTCCAGTGAGAGCAGCCAGCCCTCCAGTGGTTGTCCCTTGGTCCCCGTGGGTTCTGATTTCAAGCCGTTTGGAGCACAACGAATCGAAAGGGAGACAGATGGAGTTTTTCCATTTGTTTGAAACAGATCGGAAGCCCGTATATCTAGGGGTAACTTCCCCATTCTTTGCAGGGATCCTTCTTTCTAGAAAACCACAAAAACCTGGAAAAAATGCTGGTTTTTGAAAATAATGATGGCTGAAAAGAATGGGGAATCAACCGCTAGAGGATCGAAAGCAATCCGAGTTGGAATCCTGGCCTCTCCTGTTCAATGCTTGCATTATTTGAGTCACACTGCATTCCCGCTCGCAGTTGTCCAAAGCGAATCGACCGGATCTGTCCTTTTGGTTTCCCCTTGTTGGCAGCCATGTTTGGCTGCCCCAAAAGATTAACCTTTTGTTTCTGGGTCCTCTTTGGGCAACTGAGCACTTCCTTCAAGGCTCCTCGCCTCATTTTGCATTGTTGCATCTTGTTGATTCTGGTGCTGTTCAGTTTTGGTGGGGACTGGTATCAGCGGCTTCGCGAAGCGCAGTCCAACAACATGCAACTCCAACTTGCTTTGCACGGTTTCCGTGGGAAATACTTATCATACCCTGAAAACAAATGGAAGTTGGGGGGGGGTCAGGGCACCGCTTCTTTGATGCCAAGGGGAAACTCCACCGCCCTCAACACTAGGACACGGGTCCTTCCGTTCCTTTCTTCCTTCCCCCCCAAAAAAGACCGCCTGGTTGAAGAAGTCCAAGCAGAGGCTTGCCATAGCCCCGACCACACCATACCCTATGTTTGTTTTTTCACTTGGCATTTCAATCAGTTCGAATCAGTTGATAAATGCAGATCGATTTCTTGTAGCAAAAGGTTGAAGCATCATACCCTGTACCAACTCTGAAAGAAGGTGGATTCTTGTAATCTCCAAAAACCCACTTGCTCTAGGGCATATTGTCAACCCTGTACACTAAGAAAGGAATCGGTATTCGTGGAAAACCAATCGGTTTGCCAAACAACTACAAACAGCGTTTGTATTTGGAGGTTACGGGGGCCAGGAATCGAATTGGCGCCCAAGTGGGTTGCCTTTTGTTTCCCTTTACCATCCAAACAGGGCACCTGCACCACCTCTTCTGAGTCCCCTGTACCAATGAACGTTCTGGTTTCAATCCCATGGTTTCCTTTCGTGGTTTGCATGAATTTCGCGAAACCATCCACAGTATTTGGAGGTGAGGTGCTTGGTATCTCTGATTGGTCTTTCCAAAGGCATCGCCGGCCAAACCGAGTTGGAAGACCGAGTTGGCCCCAATCAGTGTTCGGGACCCACTGAAACGAGTCGTAACATGGGTGTCTTGATCCAAATTGGCGCAACCGGTTTCCTTCAACACCAACCGAGCCTCAAAAACTGCGGAAAAACTGCACATCCCCACAAAGCGCGGATCAGCGGTTTGAGCAGAGGTCATCTGGGCCGGTTCCTTGTGTTGAGTCTTTGCATTGACAACTTGTTGCTGGAAATGTGGGTCTTGGCAACCCCCCCCCCCTCGTTTAAAGTCACCTGTTCTTGGCTAGTATTTTTTGCCCCGCTACTCCAAAAAACATCAAATAACCACCTTTGTATGGTATTTGTTGAACACCTGATTTTCCAGGATAAAGACAGTTTTTTTGGTAAAGAGTTGACATCATACGCTAAACAAAACGGGTATTGAGAGCAGTTTTTGTTGGTTGGTTCTGTCAATTTTAGAGGGCTGCAACGCCAAATAGGTGTTTTTTTTTTTCTCACACGCCAAGGATTGGAGCAAGTTGAGCTTGCTTACACAGCTGCTGTTTACAGAAACTCCTTTTGACGTCCCTTATGGTGTCAGGTTAGCAAGGTTTGCTCCACCTTGTGCAGGCGGCCAAGAAGGTTGGGCAAAGTTAACAGGTAATGGCTACCCCCTACTGCAAATACCCGATTTTTTCAGGGTATGTTTTGGGAAACCTTTCCATGGTAAATACATCCTTTGTTAGTAGAGGGTCGACATACCCTCAAAAAAGAGGGTATTTGGAGTAGGGGCTAAGCTGAAGGTTGATCTGATTGAATCAGCAAGGTGCAAGCAGTTAACACCTTTTGACCAGTCTACTCAGCAGAAGCCACACGAACATCTCTGTTACTGGGTTTGCCTGAAAATGGCGAAACCTGATGTGGTTGCTTTCATTTTGGATTGGAACTTAAACCAACCAAAAGGGGGTTCCCTTCCACAAGAAGCATTCCTGGACAAGATCCTGCACCCCCTGAAGAAGCCCTGAAAAGTTGACGTTTCTCGCAGATCCCAACAAACTTTGTGGTTTCACTCCCATGGTTCCGTTCGTGGTGCGAGATTAGCATAAATGTTCGCAACCACCGTCCACATGCAGTAGAAACCACAATCAAACATGCCTACCCCCTACTCCAAATACCCACTTTTTTTCCAGGGAATCAGGTCGACCCTCTACCAAAAAAGAAGGTATTTACCAAGGAAAACCTGGGTTTTCCGCAAAATATATACTGAAAAACAAGTGGGTATTATATGAGTGTTTCTCAAAATACTAGACCCCTTTTAAGTGGATATTTGAAGGGAATCTAGAAGGACATCAACATCTTTTTGGGGATCGGACACCTAATTTCAGGGTTGCCTCATGTAGTGGTTTCTTTGTGGGCTCCTGTCTCGCGCCCTAAGTTGCCATTTTCGTCCGGGGGTTAGAGAACACTCCTTTCGATACTGTGGGTGTCCACGCAAAATCCAGAAGTCGCAGCATTTCCAATAAACAACGGTTTCCCATGGCTTCCAAGTGGTGCAGGATTGCATGGAAGGATTCGATTCCCCTGTAAATACCTTAAGACAAAGTGGTTTCAACCATGGTTTCCTTTCGTGGTGCGAGACTCGCGGATTTCGCAACCAACGGTGGGACTTGTGTTTAATTCTCCCCCTGAGTTCCACTTTGGAGCTCTGAGTTCTCGGGCTTTCGGCACTGGGCTTGGGCGGCCAATCGGTCGGACGTCGGAAGGTGATGCTAAGGTGGGGAGCCATCAAACATGGGCGCCCTACTCCAAACACACCGTTTTTTCAGGGTACTTTTTAGAAAGCCTGGGGTTTCATGGTAAATGCCAAGCCTTCCTGTCAGAGGGTTGACATGGCATCCTTAAAAGCAACGGGTCCTGCGAGTCACACCCAACTGCTTCAGCCCTAAGGCTTGCTGAATGCCGGCGGCCCGGGCGGGCTGGCCGCACCGCTAGCGCCGATGGGTCCAAAGTCCTCGAGGCTCTTGGAAGTGGTTGTTTGCTTTCCCTGGCTTCGGTGGTTGCCTTCCTTGGTGGTTCTTTGTGTGTTTGTTTGTTTGTTTCTTTGTGACTTCCTTGGAGTTTCTTTGTTTGTTTCTTGGTTTGGTTCGGTTCATTTTTGCAGAGTGCAAAGAACGAGACGCCACCAATCTCAACGTTCTGTGGGCTTGGTCCAGCGGCTCCTTTGAACCCACGCGCTGATCGGCGGATCCGCGGATCGGCGCGGATCGATCGGTTTGGATTTAAGTTCCCCAGACACGTGGCGCCGATGAATCGACGAAACGAGTTCCTCTGCAACGACCTAAACATATCTAGGGCGCCCTCAGCTGGCACTTGCGTGGGTCGTTCTGTGGACCCATCTTTCGAGCAGCGGGGTCCCCACGACGGCCAAATCTCCGCCACGGGTCTGGGAGACCGTTTCCTGAGTTGGCATGAGGAGACTGAGTTGGACTTCGGCCAGCTTTCAACTTGTCGCACCCCTGCTTTTTCCGCCCAACACCCATGGCCCGCGTGTTTGAGTCTAGGGTATGGCAAAGCCTGACTAGGAAAGGAGGTACAGGATTTGCTCTGGACTGCCTGGTTTTTCAAAAAGCACTCAAACAAAGACATACTCCCTACTTCAAATACTTAGGATGTCGATGCGTTGCCAAAAAAGAAGCTACTTGCTATAGAAAACCAGGTTTGCCAAATAATACCCCCCAAAAGCGGTTATTTGGAGGTTCCGGGGGAACTGGAGACATGTGAGGCCGATGATTGTTTTACCCCACATGAGTTGGCGTTACTCAGAACCCTCATCCCGTTCTGTGATATATCATGTAGTCACTCCAAAGGGGGTGTGAAAGTTAACCGACCCCTCTTGATCAGCGTGCCACCCTTACCCTGAAATTGACTTCTTTTACCATCAGCTTAGGTAAAGATATCTCAGATACCAAACGCTGACCCACTCCCAAGCTTACGATTGGGTACTTCCCGACATGGGTAAATCTAGCTGGGAATGCCTTGAGGTTGGTGTTTTTACCCCAGCAACCACCCAATGCCCACTTTGAGTTGGGGTATGATGTCAACTGACTAAAGGAGGGATCGGCATCTACTATGGAAACCGATCGGTTGTTCAAAATTTGGCCTCACCAAACCTAGGGTATCTCCACTCCAAATGCCTACCTTTTTGCTCGGGTATCATGTCAACCTTTCAATAAGAAAGGGATCGGCATTTACCATAAGTAAAACGATCGGTTGTTCATAACAACAAAGCAGATATTTTGGGAAGGTGGTCAGCAACTCGCTCCTGGTAAAGGGACACCAAACAAAACTGTGGAGCAACATGTGGAAAGTCAGCATTTCCCTCGCAAAGCATTGGGTGGAGTCGAGTCTTCCTCGAGTCAGCGCAGTACGTTCCGTCGCAGAGCCACTGCTAGCAGTCGAGCGCGTTCCGATCGCAGCTAAAAGCGTTCCGATCGCAGCTAATAGCGTTCTGGTGAGACAGTCCCTACCCCCTACACCCAATACCCACTTGTTTCGCGGTATGATGTCGACCCTCTACCAAAAAAAGGAGGTGTTTACAATGGAAAACCAGGTTTTCCCAAGAATACCAGCTGAAAAAGCGGGTATTTGGAGTAGGGGGTAGTTTTCCCCGCGCTGCTCGCTTCCTGAGTTCTGACACATGTTGGGGTTTGACCATGTGGCAAACAAACAGTTTGGGCTCGTTTGGCCCCATCCACTGAAAAAGTGAGGCTGGTTTAAACATTGGCGGCGAACTTTTACTTGGACCCACTATCATGATCAACAAAGGGTACCCCCTACTCCAAATACCAGTTTTTTCATGGTATTTTGGGGAAAACCTGGCTTGCCATGGTAAACACCAAACATTTTTTAGTCGAGGGTCGACATGAAACCCTGGACAAAAGCAGGTATTTGGAGCTTTCGGGGGTAGTTGTGGGTGAGTTGGCTTTTGGCGCTGGGGAAAGTATCTCAGACCTGTGAGACAGATCGAGTCCAGGGCAGAAAGAAAATGGGGTCCTTTGGGGGTCCAGGTTGTTTAGCAATCATCCCAATCCCAATAGTTGTGTGTGTTTCCAGTTGTATCGCGTATTCCGTTGTTCCTTTCTTGTACCTCGTTCTCCACTTTTTTGGGACTAACGCTTCGAATCAAATAATCCACAGGTTTGGTTCCCAAAGGGGCAGAGACATCGATCGCCTTCTGATTCGTCGGCTCCCTGCCAAGACGTCCGCGTTCTTTTTGCTCGACAGCAAGCATCGCGAACCCGCCACTTTGGTGCATTTTGCTTGGATGTTCGGACTTTGACTTTTTGCCAACTGAGTCAGTGCGAGAGTGAGAGTGAGAGTGAGAGTGAGGGTGAGAGTGAGAGTGATAGTGAGAGTGAGAGTGATAGTGAGAGTGAGAGTGAGTGAGTGAGTGAGTGAGTGAGTGAGTGAGTGAGTGAGTGAGTGAGTGAGTGAGTGAGTGAGTGAGTGAGTGAGTGAGTGAGTGAGTGGTGAGTGAGTGAGTGAGTGAGTGAGTGAGTGAGTGAGTGAGTGAGTGAGTGAGTGAGTGAGTGAGTGAGTGAGTGAGTGAGTGAGTGAGTGAGTGAGTGAGTGAGTGAGTAATTTGTCAAGTGGACCTGTCACGAGCTGCTTTGCCTTGACAAACCCGTAGTTTAAGTAGTGTGTAGTCGGTGCATGAATCCAAAAAGCAACGGTCCCGCCAAGCTGCTCGGAGCCCAAATACTTCGCTTTTATCGGGTATGATGTCAACCCTGTACTATAACGGGAGGAACTTACAATGGAAAGCCACCAGGTTTTTCCAAAACCGGAGTTCGCTTCTGATTTGGCACACTACTCCAAATACCCGTTCTTTCGAGGGTATCAATGCGATCCTCTACCAAAGCAGGAGGTATATGTACCATGTAAAACTGACCGGCTTTGCCAAAAATACCAGCGGAAAAAAGCGTTGGTATTTTGAGTAGGGGGTGTGGCTTTTTTTTTCAGGGCGGACCCCCAAGATATACCCCCCCCCTAAAAAACATGCGATTTGTTTGGGGGTATTTTCCGAAGAACCTGGCTTTCCAAGGTAAATGTGCCATTCGGCTTGTAAGCGATGTGCGTCTGCCTTTTCGGCCACTACGACTCTCGGGCCTCGGAAGGTTTGCATTGAGCCGGGCTTCCCGCTTTTTCCGTTCCAGGCATTGGGGGGTTTAACAGAATCTGCGTAGTGGCCAACAGTCGCACGGTTTTGAGGTTTCCACGGGAGGGCTTGAGCGGTGTGGTACCTGGGCCCAACTTGGGTGGTGTGACCAGGTCTTATACTGTCCGAGCAACTTGCCTAGCGTAGTGGCCAACAATAATAAAATGGGGGGTTGAAGGTATCTGGACCCTCAAACCACCCGTAAAAACAGGGAAATCACTGCAGAATTGTGGGCAAGATCTCATGTTTACTAGCAGTTAGTCTGTTGAGTCACAATGGTAACAGCTAGGATGGGGTAGTTCAAGAAGAGAACAAGACCAGACTGAAGCTGTGGACATGAAGACCAACAGAAAGGACAAAGAGACAGAGATACTGGGAAGGCGGGATGTGTCTAGGATCTTTTTATAGTTCTTCCCCAGAATTAGTTCCTCTTTTTATGTTGTTTGCTTTTTTGGGGTCCTGTTTGTTTTCCACTCACCAGGCAAACAACATGCTGTGGTCCCAGTTCCAGCCAGACCCGCCTTCTCTCTCCCATTCCCACTTCCACTTTGGTGCATTTTGCCAAGGGATGAATTAGCACCAACTCTAACTTTTTGATCCAACTCATGGGTTTGATCGAATTAAGCCACCAGAAGTGAAAAACACTTTTGGCAGGGGAGCTGTAGGACCAAGAGACACCAAGCCCTCCTCCTTACCGATGACTTGGAAAGGTTGGAGGCACATGGAAAATATGTTAGGATATGAAAGCTTCTGGGTTCTAGGAAGTAATATCTTAGAACATATTTTTTTGCAGACAATTTGATTGTTAAGAAAAAAGCATGCCATATCTCCTTATTGATTGTGCCTTTTAGAAATCTATCACTTTAGGTTGTTTCTTCGGGTTTAGGTACCACAAAACTCAAAGCCATGACCATATTCCAAGGCCTATATGAGGGCGCGAATCATCACAGGTCGCAAAAGACCTCGAAAAAAAAGAAGGTTTGGGACCTATGGAAAATGTCAGTATTTCTTCATCCGAATTTTCTGGCTGGATCGTTTCGTGGAAGTGGGAAAGCTTTGAAACGAGCCCCAGTGAGTCCATTTGCCGGCAGCTGGACCCTCAAAGTTGCAAAGGGAAACCACACCTAAATGCATGAGAAGTCTTTCGTATAGGTGTCAAAGGAAACACCGTTTGCAGACTAAGAAGCATTGATGGCAACCCCCTACTCCAAATTCCCGCCCTTTTTTTCTAGGCATCATGTCGACCCTCTAGTAAAAAAAAGTAAGGTATACCCCCTACTCCAAATACCCGCTCTTTTCAGAGTATCATGTCGACCCTCTACTAAAAAAGGATGATTTTATCATGGAAACCCAGGTTTTCCGAAAAATACCCTGAAAAAGGCGGGTCTTTTGAGTATAGGGGGTATTTATCGTGGAAAGCCGAAACCGGTTTTGCAACTGAAATCAGGGGCTTTGAGCACTGAGGCTGCTGGCGGAATGCTTTCCTCGCTCGAAATCTGCTGGCTGGCTCGAGCTAATTCGGCCGCTCTCTGGTTTTTTGAGGGAACCCTTCTTGGGGTTAAAAGGACACCCGCCCATTTTAGGGGTTCCGAAGATGGATGTGCGCACCCTTGTCGTGGCTTGTCTTTGGTGGATCCGAGTCTCAGCACGAGGGCGCCACGCACAATGGTTGTCCGTGGAACCTCGTTGATTCCCAACAGCTGAGACCTTGAAAATCGCCCCTGGTCTTCCTCAAAAGCCGTCCCCTTGAGGGTGTGCCCTTTCTTGTTTTTTTTTTGTTGTTTTTTTTGTATGAGTTGCCTCAACGAACCCCTCGTTTTCGACATGAGCCACCCTGACACGAGATCTCTTTGGATGCAAGAAAAACGCCTATGACCCGACTGGACAGGTGGGAGCTCAGGTTTTTTTGGGCGTGTCCAGCTACCAAAAACA